AAATGACAATCTGTTTTCTGGAATTGTAAAATGATTCGGTGGGAAGTTTTTTTTTTTTCTCTCAAATGGATGAACATCATGTATTTATATATATATAGATATATCTTGCGATTTGATCGGTTTAATTTTGAACATCATAAAAAAAAAAAAAACTATTTGTTTTTTTTGGACCCGTCAATTCTATTTATATATGCATATATATATATATAATTGGAATTGCTGCAGATTATATAACATATACGGGGTCACAAATTTAGAAATCTTTAAATTTAATGTAATTTCATACAACGTCTACAGAAATTTAATTTTCTAACATTCTCAATATAAGTCAATTCAAACAAGATGTCACAAAAGTGATCTCTCTTATCTAGATTGTTTTATATGGAATGTTTTGAAGTTCATGTCTGTGTATCTCATGCGGGTATTTATCGGTCCAAAGACATGATTAAGACTTGGCAAAATTACACACACATTTTGTGGTGATAAACATGTGCCAATTGTCAAGAAAACCTAATGTGAATAATAAATCCATCAAAAGATAGATTTGTTATTTGACATAACTTATTGTCAATGTTTGATCATTACAACAAGAATACCACTTACAGTTAATATCACTACCCAAAGGCTTGGTATTAATGTTGTGCTAGGTATCTTGAGATGTTGTCATTAAATTAATTTATTTAGAGATTAGTTGTAAAAGAAAGAGTGCAGAGTGGACAGATTTCCATAGAGCACATTGGGAGAAACTCCATGATAGCGGATCCACTTACGAAGGGACTACCACCCAAGGTCTTTCATGAGCACACTGCTCAGATGGGTGTTGTTCTATTTGAGAACATTCTGGTTTAGTGGAAGTTTGCATTTATATTACTGCTTTATGTCAGCCTTGAGTTTTATCTATGTAATTAGATTAATTTCTGCATAAATGAAATATTCAGTTTATTACGTTCTATTACGTATTGTGAAGTATTGATCTCAATAAAATTAAGTAAGACCAGTTGGAAATAGGCATGTATGGATCACATCACATGTAATTTCCATGCTATGCATCCATGATTGATCTATGTCACTTAGCTGTATTAGTATACGTGACCATTGGTGGGTCGAGTTACGATTGATGTAACGAAGACCGCTTTGATCCTATATTAATATAGTTAATGGACAAGATTATTTGGATACCCTCAAGTTATGATAACAAATTTCTGAGCTCACTAAAGTTAAGCACATTTTTCAGGATACATATGTGGTCCAGTGGGAGATTGTTAAATAATGTCTCAATGGGACCACATAATTAAATGTGGTGTTATCATTTATAAGAAGCCTACAATTTAAGTGATTCAATTTAGTTAATAGGCTTAAGGGTATATGTGTTATGGACCTAATGTGTAGATACTAGTTGTATAATTTCTATTTCTATGAGGGGCAGAAATAGAAATTAAAACATATTGGTTAAAGTTGGTTTTCATTCCTTTTGAACTTCCACAACCTTTCAGTTTTGAAAACCAATTACAACCTTTAAAAGATTATGGTCCCTATTCTTTCCCAAGTGGAAAAGAACACTGCCATTTTTCTTTCTAAATCCTCTCAAGGAGAAACATAAGGCACCAAAGGGGAAATGATTAGAAAGCAATAACATAATCAATAACAAAGAGTTCATTGATAATCACGCTTCCGTTTAACCGTTCATCAATGGATTCAGGTATGTCATTTTATCTTGATTTCTTGGTAATACACATGGTAAATGATCCAAAGTGTAAGGTTTATGTTCTGAAATTTATGTTAACATCTTTTTGAATGGATTAATTACTATTTTTTTTAAATGATTCAATAAAAACTAGTCAATAGAAGATTTTTTAATTATTTAAAAAATAAGGGTTTTGAGCTTCACAAGAGCCTTCTCATTAGAAATCCCATTTTCCTAAAATCATTAAACATCAAGAATATTTTTTTTATGGAAGTTGTGAATTGATTCCTATATTTTAGTGATACAAAAATTTACATTTTAAAACTGATTAATTAACTTTTCTTTTCAAACTTCTAAATTTAAATTTTTAAATAGATCAATTAACTATATTTTTGAAATGTGTAAATCAAGTCATAAAAGCTATTTAAAATTTTAAATATAATAATTAACTTTCCTTTTAAATGGATTAATTATTACTTTTTTTAAATGATTCAACAAAAACTAGCCACCATAAGACTTTTTAATTATTTAAAAAATAAGAATTCTAGAAAAATAGTATAAGGGTTTTGAGTTTCACAAGGCCTTATCATTAGAAACCTCATTTTTCTTAATACATATAATAATATAGATATGATTCATTGAATGTATAGACGAATAAATAACATTTTATTTTACTAGTTACCCCCCCGCACGCGTGGAGTCACATTATAGTTTCAATCCAAATACTTTTAAGTGTAATGCAAAGGACTAGTCTATTTTAATCTAAATATTTTTAGGCATAATGCAAGTTTCTTCTTGTGTATTATTTTCTAATAATAATGGGATGAATATAATATTAAAAAATGTTAGAGATTCTAAAAGTCCTACCAAAATTCCTACCGTATGTTTCACATGGGTCCCATGAAAAATATTTGGTAGAACTTTTGGTAGAACTTTTGGGGTCTCAAGCATTACCCTATAATATTTATAGAACTAAACCAACTAAGCCTAGCCTAATTGGCTATTATGACTTTTCTAGAAGCTTAGTCCCTAAGGAGAGGTTATGTGTTCAACTCCCCCTTAACGCAAGTTTCTTGTTATGTATTATTGTCTAATTATAATGGGATGAATATAATATTTATAGAACTAAACCAACTAGGCCTAGCTTAGTTGATTACCATGACTTTTCTAAGAGCTTAGTCCTTAGCGAAGAAGGTTATGTGTTCAACCCTCCTTGGGTTATGAGTTCAACCCTCCTTAGCGGGAGAGGCTAACTCCCAAAGGTACTAATCTAATAATTAACTTCTGCCGATCAAAAAATTTATAGTAATAATTTCTAATACATTTAGTCAGGTATAGAAATGTGAACATAGCTATGGATGATATTATGTAAATATATCTTGACATTTGCAGCAAAGATTTTTTATTTTCTAGAACCAAGTCGAGAAAAATATAGACAAGGCAAGCATACCTATTTAATAATATGTATTCAATAACGTAGTAAATTTATACATACCAAAAAAACAAAGAACACATAAATAGTTTGGAACCATTTAATTTAAGGAGGACTTACATGTAGGTCTTAATAGGTGAACTTATTGCCCAATAGATCCTATGATAATTAATGGCATTTTTCATTAAACACTATTAAAAAATGTTACTAATTGTTAATTTTCAGCTACATTTAAAAATTGTCACAAAAAATGTCACTAATTATATTTTTTGGCTATAGTTTAAAAAAATCATCAGAAAAAAGTCACTAATTTTTAACTTTCAGTGACAGTTTGAAAAAGTGCATTTGTTTGAGAAGTAAGATAAGTGTGGTGGTATTTAGTGGTTACGATTAATTCTATGAAATTACATAAAAACCCTAATTGCATAAAAAGAGAGATTTTATTGTGTTTGATAAATGGAGGGCAAAATAGACATTTTGCTTCAATCCAAGGGGATTGGATTAGCAATCCTACCCCATTCAAGGGAACACTAATCCTACCCCCAAGTAGGATTGGTAGTCCCATAGGACTCATAGCCCCTTAGCATATAGCATAACCAAACATGGGTTTGATGGGACTCGTGTGATTATTAATCCAATCCCACCACCTAAGAGGCCAAACAAACATGGCCTTAATTCATTACCTCTCATCATTGTCATTATTTCCTTTGCCACTAAGTTATTAGCCATCTTTGCAGATGCAATGAAAGAGAGAAAAGTGATAGCTATAGTAATAAAAGAAAACAAGAAAATAGTAAGTATATATAGAGAGAGAAATGAGTAAACTAAATATGATAGCATGATTGAAATTATGATTTGCTAAAATGGAATCCAATTGAATCAACCACACAACGAATTCCTGTGAATCCTTCCATGATTAGTGTTTAGAGAAGGATTCACAGGTACTTGCTTTGAGCTTGATTCCAATGAATGGTACTTATTTTGGACTTGATTCAAATGGATTCCATTCTAGTAGATCATAAGATTAACAGATCATTAGTGTCCACAAAAAGATTCACAGGAACTTGTTTTGGGCGTGATTCCAATGAATTTCATTCTGGCAAATCATCAGTGTCCAGAGAAAGATTCACAGGTACATGTTTTAGGCATGATTCCAATAAAACCATCTAGATCTGTCACCTCATCTTCATTTTTTGTCTTCCCAAATACCCTTTGATCTTCGTCACCCTCTAATTTTTAAAAACCTTAAATTCTTACCTCTCATCATTATCGTTATTTCCTTTGCCACTAAGTTATTAGCCAGATGTGATGAAAGAGAGAAAAGAGATAGGTATGGTAATAAAAGAAAATAAGAAAATAGCTAGTATAGAGAGAAAAGAGTAAGCTAAATATGATAGCATGTCTGAAATTATGATTTGCTAGAATGGAATCTAATTGAATCAACCACACAACGAACACTTGTGAATCCTTCCATGATCAGTGTTTAGAGAATGATTCATGGGTACTTGTTTTGAGCTTGATTCTAATGAATGGTTCTTGTTTTGGGCTTGATTCAAATGGATTCTATTCTGATAGATCATAAGATTAATAGATCATCGATGTCCACAAAAGGATTCATAGGTACTTGTTTTTTGCGTGATTCTAAAGAATTTCATTTTGGCATATCATCAATGTTCAGAGAAGAATTTACAAATCGACAATGTCTAGAGAAAGATTCATAGGTACTTGCGTTGGGCATGATTCCAATAAAATTTATTTTGAAAGATCATCAGTGTTCAAAGATCCACATATGCTTATTTTGCATCTTTGAAAGTATAAAAGTTTGTTTTGCATTTTTGAAATTATAGAGATGTAAAAGATAGGAAAATATAAATTTTAAATTTATTTAAATAAGTGTAAAAACAATTGGCGTGAAAAAACACGAAAGTGGATGTTGATGAAATCTTTTAGATCACCGCCTTCCTATAAAGCCCCCAAATCTTCAACTTATTTCAATCTTTCAATCTCTCTCCACTCTCCTAAGCCTCTAAAACCCTTCTCTGATTTTCACTCTCCTCTGTTCAAACTCGAAATTTTTCAAGAATGGACTTAGAAGAAGAGTACGATCTAAGCTACAATGACGAAGACGAAGATGAGATCACTCAAGAAGATGGTTGGGTAGTGATCATTGCTTACTTTGAAGAGAAGGGTCTGGTTCGTTAACAGCTCGATTCTTTTGATGAGTTCATTCAGAAGAACACTATGCAAGAAATCATTGATGAGTTAGCCGATATCGTGATTCGACTCGAGTCCCAGCACAACCCTGGTCACCAAGCCGATTTCACTGAGGTTCTACTCTTAAATCACTAGGTTTATGTGTTGTATAGTTGAAAACCTAGTTGGAAAAAATTGGTAATTGAATCAGATGAAATTGAAAACAAAGCATTTATTGTAGTTGATTACTGAGCATGAAAGGATGACGAAGAGTAAATTTTTGAGTAAATCAACTAATGTGATTCTATTGTTGATTGATCATCTATAGTATGGGGTACTGGGTTTTTTTTGCCTTTTTTTGGCTGAAGTTGAACTCAAAATCAAAGTTTTGTTGTGGTTTTGGAGGTAGTAGAGTCATTGGTTAGTAGTTGCAGTTGGGTGGTGAAAATAAAGTTTTGTGATAATTTGATTGAAGCAACAACTGAAGATTGATGTATTTGTCATAATTTGGGTAGTTGGTGAAGACAAAATTTGTTTAATTTTGTTGATAAGTTGAAGTTTAGTTTGATTTCTGTTGTGTACTTGGTTTCTTAATTTTGATTGCCGAAAATTGAAACACCAAATGGCATTAGTCTTATCAGAAAACCTTGTGGAAGAATTGGTAATTGCGTGAATGAACTCATAATTAAGCATTCATCGTAGTTGGATACTTATTTTACCTGGCTAGTAAGGAGTAAGTTTTGTATTTGTATGATTGAGAGTAAGGCATGAAGAGTAGCATTTTAGGTCATTTTAGTGTGGATTAGTTGCCTATAGTCATGGATTGATATGGTTGAAAGAAGAATTAGGGGCAATTTTTATGGCTTTGTTATGATTGAACGTTGCTCTTGGATTGTAGTAATTACAAATTTACTTGCAGACCATCTATAAGATCAGCTTTGTTCATATTTACTTGAATAAGCCAATGATGACCGAGTCGGATGGAGAAACTGCAACTTTGTTTCTGAAAGCTGTGAGATTGAGGAATCTAACATATTCATTTCCCTTGTATGTAGGCGTGACAAAGAGAGTTATAAAGAAAGGACATGATGGTGAAGAAGTTACTGAAACTCAGGATTTCACTAAAGTCTTCATTAGGAAGGTATATGAATTGAACACCAAATCAATGAATTGATTATTTGAGTTCCATATATTGACTCTTCTACTTCTTTGTTGCCTTATATTTTAAGGTTCCTATAATGCTTCGGTCAAGTTATTACACGCTATATCAGAATTCAAAGAAGGATTTGACGGAGCTTGGAGAGTGTCCTTATATGATCAAGGTGGGTACTTCTTCATCAGTGAAAGTAAAAAGGTTCTAATTGCACTTCTTCATCAATGAAAGTGAAAAGGTTCTAATTGCTTAAGAGAAGATGAGCACCAATCATGCCTATGCATTTAAGAAGAGGCAGCCAAACAAGTATGCCTATACGGGAGAAGTTCAGTCAATGGCAGAGTCCCAAAACAGGCCACCCAGTTCCATGTTTGTGCTAATGCTCTCCCGAACTAGTGCCAAAGGGGTAATGGCATTAAAAATGGTGTTTGTGTGCATATTGACTGATGACCTCCTTTTCTTTTCCTAACAATTTGTATTATTTATAAATTTGTATTTTCTTAATTGTTTGCTTTTCCATTGGATGGAATATCAGCTGAACAGAGAAACTTCTGAGAGAAAAATGCAATGCTTGGTGTTGGCTGCTAGATTGGCTTCAAGCTTGTCAATCTGTTTGTGCTCACAAAACGACTCACACTCTGTTAGGACACATCAACCCAACTTAGAGTAGCTATGCAATATTATTGAGGAGGAGATGGTACATTTGTGATAATAATTTGCATATGGTACACATTTCATAATATGAATTTAACAAAAAATTATGTTTATGATATCACTTCATATAATAGATTGTCTTAAAAAAATATTAAAATTAATTAACACGTTGTGTGTGCTTATAATTTAGGGATAATTATCAAAAATCTTCAGTCTTTATTTGACAATTCAAATTATTCACTTAGTAAACAAATTTACAGGGTGAGATATAATGATCAACTTTATCAGGAGACAAAAGATGACTCACTAGTGTGAGTTTGGAATCAACCTAAAAATGTCAAATTTTTTTTTTTTTTTTTTTTGAACTTCGTGTAAAAAAATTATTCTTCAAGTTTATTTAGTACAGAAGGATCTGAAAAGTTAAAAAAAAAAAAAATTGACAAAAAAAACCCTTACTAAAGGTGAAAAAAAAAATAAAGTGTTGCTATTAGTATCCTATTTATTATTTTGGACCTCTCATTTTTTGATTCTTTTATGTCACGACCTAACCCCGATGCTTGGGCTGGACTCGCAACTAGTTAAATTCTAAAGTTATCAATGTTTAATTTTAGATTAAACAAATTAAATAATGCAGCAGAATAAAAATAAAAATAAAGTAAAGTGCATACGTGTGAACTTTTATTTATATAATGTGAGTTAGTTAATAATTACAAATAAACACCATATATAAAAAAATAGTCTCATGGTAGAAAGAAAAAAAAAGGAAGAAAAACACAATATTCATCTCTAGTCTGGGTTCCAGTTAAAGGAGCAAAACAATTCCTTCATAGGTTTCTTCACCTGAAAGAAGTTTAACAGGTATGAGTACATGTCAGAGTAATAAATATTATACTAAGAGTATAAGAGTACACAAATCACCATAAATAATTATTTAGGCTAAACAATGAATAGTTTGATTTGAATAAAACAATTATTTTAAATAACAGATGTATAGTATAGAAATCATATAAGCGAAATAACTATAACCACGATACAAAATAGAACAGCGTAAATGGATCATGATAGACAAAGAGTTACAAAGTAACTAATCAAAAGACCAATCGTTATTTAAGTTCCCAAGGCATGAGACCGTTAGAGAGTCACTAAAGTAACAAATCAAAGGACCAAAAGTTATTTAAGTCCCCAAGATATGGAACCTCCGTGGTAATACTTACAAAATAATTATTCAAAAACATATTTAATAAACAGTTATATCCATGGGTTTTCATTTTTAAGTGAAATGAGTTCATAAAAATAAATAACATAATTATGATGCTAATATAATTTAAAAAACATGATTTGTATAAAATAATTTTATAATTACTCAAATTATAATATAACTCACTTCAATATTAAATCCTCCATTGTTTTTCTACCTTCCCGTTTTCCGTTTTCCGTTTTCCATTTTCTTCCCTCACCAACTTTCTTCCACTTTTTTGTTTTTGTTTTTGTTTTTATTTTTGTTTCGATTGCTAATGCATACTACGTTATTTATATCCGAGCTAATCACATGGAGTAAGGATCCTCTAGAGTTTTTTTTCTCTAAAGTTTCCTAGAGTGGTGCATTGTGTGGTTGAGATTTAATGATAAGTCACATTAATTTTTTAACATTAAATCTTAACTACATAATACACCACTTTAAAAAACTTTAAGAAAAAAAGATCCTTGGTGAATCACATGTGTGTCAGCTACCAATTCCATGCGGTGTCTCAATCAATTTGCCATCTTTGTTATTATAACTCCCTCGTATCTCCATGTGGACAATCCGGGGGTATTGCCTATGGTTTAGTTGCTTGCCTAATTTATCCTTGGCCCATATACTAAGGTTATTACGTTATCACTTATTTTTATTAGTCTTTTCCTTTTCTTTTTTTTTTTCGCAACGACTCCTAATGTAAATTAAATTACATTTTATCACGTACTATCATAAAATTAAATATTTTATTTTACTACTACTACTACTACTATTACTATTATTATTATTATTATTATTATTATTATTGATTGTAGTATTAATCAAATATTTAAGGTGTCACATTTTATTACAATAATAACCTTAAATGAAATTACTAAAGAGGATACCAATCATTTTGGGACACCTTATCTGACAATCTCACACACCCACTAAATCATGAGATAAGATTTATGAGAGCACCCACCTCGATCATCACCTATCTATCTTCTCAAAATCTCACCCTCAAAACCTTTAAAACCCTCTGGTGACGATATTTCAGTGACAATGGTAGCAATCATTCAATTACACACACTTTTTCAGCAACCATAACTTCATCATACGAGAGAAGTACAACAATCTAAGTTTAGAGAAGATTCATAACTTTGATGGTATTTTCAACTAGGAGGAGGTTGACCATGTAAAGATAAGTTTCTTGAAAAACATAACAAAAATGGTGAAAAATATTCGTATTTTTTGGGGGTATTGAAATCCCCAACATATGACCAAAATTCGGGAACACGGGCTTGGACATTACTTATTTGTTCAGAAATATAGGCCCGAACATTGGTTATTTGTTTGGGAACACATGTCCGAATATGAAAATTTGATACACTTTGAAGGGTTAAAATTGTTCACATTTGTAGGAGTTTTCGTTTTATCAAGTTTAGGAACACATGACCAAACATTAGTTATTTGTTAAAAAACACATGCCTGAACATGGTATATTTGTTCAGGAACACAAGTCCAAACATTCTTAGTGAAAGAGAGATGAGAGAGACTTTAGGGGGTTGAGGAAAAGCAAGACTGAGACTGAGCAAAATGTAGATTTGTTCTCTTAAAACTCTATACACACACACACACACACATATATATATATGGCTTGGTTTGGGAAGTGGGTTGGCTTTTTGGCTTTTTGGCTTTTTTGGCTTTTTTGGCTATTTCTTATTTGTTCAGAAATACAGGCCCGAACATTGGTTATTTGTTTGGGAACACATGTCCGAATATGAAAATTTGATACACTTTGAAGGGTTAAAATTGTTCACATTTGTAGGAGTTTTTGTTTTATCAAGTTTAGGAACACATGACCAAACATTAGTTATTTGTTAAAAAACACATGCCTAAACATGGTATATTTGTTCAGGAACACAAGTCCAAACATTCTTAGTGAAAGAGAGATGAGAGAGACTTTAGGGGGTTAAGGAAAAGCAAGACTGAGACTGAGCAAAATGTAGATTTGTTCTCTTAAAACTCTATCTACACACACACACACACACACACACATATATATATATGTTGTTTTTAGGGTTTTGGGTTGATTAAAGAAATGGATGGAATTAAAGGATGACATACGCACCTAATGCAAAGAAACAAGTGAAGATTGCAAAGAATACGTTCCTTACACCCGATCGATTCACTTTAGATACAGTTTTCTTTCACCGTCATGAGAGAGAGAGAGAGAGAGAGAGAGAGAATGAGTTTTGGAGAGTTCCTTTTTTTTTTGGTAGGGATTTATGAGATAATGGTTTTTAGGGGTGTGGCAGTGAAATTTTCATAAGGACAATTTTGGTATTATTTGGGGAAAGGAAATTTTTTTTAAGGGTTTTAAAATTTATAAGTGAGAGTCCAAAAAAATAGAGGTCTAGAATAATAAATGAGGTGCTAATAACATCACTAAAAAAATGATTTTTTTGATATTTAGAAACACACGGAAGGATACATGAGTGATCTAGAAGTATGGATGAACTTGTAATAAACTAAAAGTCAAAGAGTATACTTCATAAAGTGAGTAAACTTGTAATAAACTAAAAGTAGAAGGTTATATTTGGTAAAGTGAGCATTAGACTCACCTAAGCTTTGAGAGCTTCTAAATGCATCTCAAAAATTATGTTGAACACACCATTATTTAGAGCAGCACCCTAACCCTAATTTTAATTTTAAATTAAAATTTTTTTTTGGTTGAACACCCCAAAACATCACATTAATCCCACTTTTACCCATTCAACCATCTGTCGCCAGAATACCTTTGTTGCTGCCTCTAAACACCTACATTCCTTCTCCGTTAGAGCTACACCTTTGTCGTCCCCTCACCTTCCCTTCTCATCCTTCTTCTTCTCTACCTTTTCCTCATCCTCCTACTTTTTTCTTCTTCTTTTTCTTCTCCACCGAAAGCCTTGATTTTAGAAACCCTAGATCTAAAATCTAGGGTTTCAAGAAGGAGAAGGAGGAAGAAGACATCATGGTGGGAGGCTTATGATGGGAAATGAGTCACAAAGGATGGGTGGTCGAGAAGGTTTCAAATATGAAATCTAGGGTTTTGAAGTAGATAAGGAGAAGAAAAAAAAAAAAAAAGGAGCAATGATAAGAGGGAGGTCGCAGTAGAGGAAGAAGGTCATGGCAATGGCTAGGGGGAGGTTGTGGTTGGGTGAGCAGACGATGGTGAACGTAAAGAGATATTTCACGAGTTGAAGAGGTAGGGGCTGCCGGTGATGCAGCGATGATGGCGAACGGCTGGAAGGGGTTGGTAGGTAGCGCCTGAGGGTGGAGAAGGGCTGGGGATGGCACTAGAGGGCAAGGAAAGGGCTAAGGTGTGGCGGAAGGGTTGAGAATGAGGTGTCGAAGCTAGGATAGGGCGGCCAGAGTTAGGAGCCTTGCCGGAGTTGAATGGTTTTAGCTAGAAGAAAGAAAGGGTATGTCGGCCAAACTATATTATATTTGAACAAAAATGCCGAGTCGCTCAATGAGGAGAATATAGGGTGCTCTTAGATTTTCTAATTGCTGTTTGAGTTTTTGGGCATCTTGGTCAGTTAACTAATGGGTAAAATGGTATTAAAAAAAAAAAAAAATTTTGGTTGCCCAACCAAATAATTGGGGTGCATTTAGAGGCACCCCTAAGCTTCTACTGCTTTTTATATATGTTATTGATAAAATAGATAGTTTTAAGTTTAAACTTTTTAATTACCATCGATTTAGAAAATAAAAATTAATTATTTATATATCTAATATTCGATGAAATTAAAATTTTGAGACAATTAAAAAATAAAAAATAGAATTTGAGTTTTCAGACAAAATAAATATTGAATTTTCAATTTTGATAATTTAAACCTTAATTTTTTTTTATATTTATTTTCAATGTAAACCATTTGTGTGTTTTGATTAAGTAAAATCAATGAAAAAAAATAGTATTTTACTCATTAAACTTAATAAAAAAGGATATTTTAAATTGAAAATAAATTAAAAGTTTAAAATTTAAATTGACAAAATTAAAAATTCATAATTTATTTTATTACAAAGTTAAATCTTGAATTTTTTTTTACAATTTTTCCTAATTTTTTAATAATTTAAAGGAGATGTTTGAGAACGAAACATTTTAATTAGAAGGTTAAAAAATTGCAATAAACTATCAAACTATCCTTAATATATATTTTTGACAATCTTTTTATAGGAGTGTGGACGGCTCGAAATCTGCACGCGGCCTGAAGTGGGCCTGACCTGTTTGGGCCTGAGCCCAGCCCAAGCCCCTGGGTCAGAGCTTGGGCTATCATTTTGAAGCCCACTCAAGGCCCGGCCCGCTTAAGACCCGCCCAAGGCCCAGTATTTTTTTTAGTAAAAAATAATAAAGTTTTGGTAGAAAAAATTTAAAAGACAAAAAAAAATAGTCAGGCCTGCTTAAACCCAGCCCAAGCTCGAGGCCAGGCTTAGGCCCATCGAGCCGCCCTGAGGCTCGAATTTTTGACAATCTTTTTGTAGGAGTACGGACGGCTCGAAATCTGCACGCGGCCTGAAGTGGGCCTGACCTGTTTGGGCCCGTGCCCAGCCCAAGCCCCTGGGTCAGAGCTTGGGCCATCATTTTGAAGCCCACTCAAGGCCCGGCCCGCTTAAGACCCGCCCAAGGCCCAGTATTTTTTTTAGTAAAAAATAATAAAGTTTTGGTAGAAAAAATTTAAAAGACAAAAAAAAATAGTCAGGCCTGCTTAAACCCAGCCCAAGCTCGAGGCCAGGCTTAGGCCCATCGAGCCGCCCTGAGGCTCGAATACCCTTAGGCTTAGGCTTGGGCTTTGGCCTAATTTTTTGACAAATGGCCCGTCCTGAATTTTGGCAGAAACTCGCAAAGCCAAGTCAAATTTACACCCTTATCTTTTCATCACTAAACATACCAATTCCTAATGGATCCTAAAATAAGGAAAAGTTATTTGGTAGTCTTGAGCATGACCACATCGTATACAAAGTATGTATTGATTGGTAAATATGATAAGACTTAAATAATTTTTTTAAAAGGATAGTCTTCTCTCTTGCTTGAATTGGACTAAAAGGTATTCTTAGCCTCCGTTTGGAAAGTGGGTTGACTTTTTGACTTTTTTGGCTATTTTAGCCTGGGCTAAAAAGTTTGGTTTGGGAAGGGCTTTTTGACTTTTTAGCTTTTTTGACTTTTTTTGTAAGAGAAGAGTGTAATGATTATGGGTTGGATGTGATGTTTTGTTTGTTGTGGCTAAAATAGCCGATTTTGTCTTTTGTGACTAAAATAGCCAAAAAATACCCATAAACCAACTTGCCAAACGGAGGCTGACTTGCCTTGAGGTTTGGAGAAAATATATAAATTCTGCAGTTTTGATATAATTAGATTAGGCTGTCTTAAGATTTAACACTGAGCTTCTCATCAATAATTCATTAGTCATAGTTGAAAAAATGATTTTTTTTGTCATTTTTTTATATTGAAATGTATTTTTTTTTCTTCTTTATTATTGTGTCTTTACAATATCTGTATTAGTTTTAGTCTCATTAGCTTTACTAATTAGGAGGTTGGTGTAATTATTTTAAAACTATGAAACTTGTTTTATTTTATTTTTTAAATTTTAAGTGCAATCAGTGTAATTTACCCTAGATAATTTCATACATTACATGGTGACTTACCTATTGGCTTGTTGGTTTGTGGCTAAAACAGTCACAAAAGATAAAATAAGTAATTTTAGTCATAACAAATAAAATTTTGTATTTAACCCATAATCATTACATTATTCTCTCACAAAAAAGTCAAAAAAACTAAAAAGTTAAATTTTTTTTTTCAAACTAAACTTTTTAGCCCAAACTAAAATAACCAAAAAAACTAAAAAGTCAAAAAGTCAACCCATATCCCCAACGGAGGCTCAATTTCAGAGACTCCAAAATAAGAAGAGGGAAGTAGGGTCACTGCTATGCAGTGTTCCCCGCTGTGCCTAAAACGGCAAAGTTTTACTTTTTTTTTTTTTTTTATTTTTCTCACTATGTTTTTTGGTGTCATAAATTACACTTTTCTTTATTTTATTTTAGGATTTAGGATTTAATTCTTAAAATTTATATATTTTTTTATTTTAAGGTTGAGGGTTTAGGGTTTAATTCTTAAATTTTTTATTTTATTTTAGGGTTTAGAGTTTAATTCTTAAAATTTATTTAATTTATTTTTTTATTTTAAGGTTTAGGGTTTAATTCTTAAAATTTATTTTTTTTTATTTGAGGGTTTAGGGTTTAGGGTTTATGTTTAAGGTTTAATTTTTAAATTTTTTATTTTATTTTAGGGTTTAGAGTTTAATTCTTAAAATTTATTTAATTTATTTTTTTATTTTAGGGTTTGAAGTTTAGGGTTTAATTATTAATTATTTTTTATTTTTATTTTAGTGTTTATGGTTTATGGTTTAAGGTTTAAGGTTTAGGGTTTAATTCTTAAAATTTATTTTTTTTTATTTGAGGGTTTAGGGTTTAGGGTTTATGTTTAAGGTTTAATTTTTAAATTTTTTATTTTATTTTAGGGTTTAAGGTTTAGGATTTAATTTTTAAAATGTAATTTTTTTATTTTAGGATTTAAGGTAAAATGTAATTTATCATGTCAAAACACACAGTGAGAAGATGAAAAATAAATAAAATAAAATTAAAAAAAACAAAAATGAAACTGTGCCCGTTTTAGAGGAAAAAAAAAAAAATGATTAAACGCTGCCGTTTGAAATCACGGCAGGCACAGCAGGGACTGCAACACAGCAGGGACCCCGTGTCCAAATAAGGGGTATCAAAGATGCCATGCCAGTATGGATGGGCAGCCATTCCCATGAAAACCTCAACCCATTCCTTATCCATGCACACTCGAACTTCCTAAACCTCATTCCCAAAACTCTCGCACCCCATCAACAATCTCTCCACTCTTCACCAGAGACTATGATTAAACTCAATCCATCACACACTCCCTCTCTCTCCTCTCCATTTCCCCTCCAATTCCCCACCCACACCTCCCTCTCTCTCACCCCCATCTCAAATTTCAATTTCCCTCGTCTCCCGCTTCTTCGCCCCTGTCAAAAACCTAAATCCAAGGTTTTCCATCCCAAATTACACTTCCTTCGTTATATTTTTGTCATTTTGATTCTTAATTTGGTGTGTTCTTTGAATTTGTTGTAGATAATTCGAAGTTCAGTGAAAGAGACTGAGTTATTGGAAGATGAGGATGTTGAATTACTTGTGGAGACCTGCATTACGCGTACTCTGCCTCCGGCGTTGACGCTCGAACACGGTCTGCAAATGATTAAAGACGCCGTTGATGAATTGAAATCGAATCCTCCTCGTTTCAATAGTGGGATGTATAGATTTCAGGTACAGCTTGCAATGCAACTGAATAGTAATACCCAATTATTAGTTTTTTTTTGATTGAATGCAGTGAATGCATGTAGATAGACATATATGTAGGTATGGACATATGCAGGGGCGGAAACAGGTTTTTGTAATTGGGGTGTTCAAAACTTGAAAGACTATTTTTCTTGTGTCAAATTAGACATGTATTTAGATAATGCTAAAATATAACACAGGAATTAGCTAGTCATTAGATAGTAAAACACTGAGCTTCATGTTGTTTTTTTTGGTGATAATAAGCTTTTTATCATATCATTAGACTTTAATCGAACAGTAGCTAGATCGTTTGATTGGTGAATATTAAAAGCCCAATTCACTTACATTGATTTTATTGGGTTATAAAAAAATGGGTAGGACTTACAGCCCCACTGTCACAAAAAAATAAAAAAATAAAAAAATAAATAAAAATAATACTAAATTAGAACCTTTACAATTTTTCTAAAAAAATAAGGGATGCCAGAATGTAAATTTTCCTTGAACATACATTATATATAATATACATAAGACGGTTACTGGAAAAGTGGGGGGTGCCCTGGCATCCTCTCCACATAAGGTAGTTCCGCCCCTGGACATATGGTAGTTATATGCATATGGCCGGGCACTGTGTGGTCTGGAATCACGTGTTGCGATTGTGAATTTGCAGGTTGCTGTGCCCCCTAGTGCAAAAGCTTTGAATTGGTTTTGCTGCCAACCTGAGTCATTAGGAGTGTTTCCTCAGTTTTTTCTTTCCAAAGAGAAAGATGACCCAACATTTAGATCCCTTTCTTTGAGTGGAGTGCGCGGTGTTTTTGGAATTGGCACTGCTGTCCTCTTCAAAGGGTCTTCTTCTTGTGCCTCAGCAGAGTGGAGTTCAATAAAAAGGTTATTTTATCCTTATTGCTGTTTAAGGTTTTGTTTTTGATCTCATAGGTAACCCAATACTCTTGGGGGCTGTTAAACAAAATAAATAGGGATTATCACTGTATGCCAGGGTAAGTCTTTAAATAAAAGTGATAAAAGTAGTAATTGTTTTCTAGTTTTTGACAATGTGAGATGAGTAGAAAGTAGGAAAACCAATAGGTGGGATTCCCGTTTATATAGAATGGGCAAATCAGAAGGGAAGTTTATTTTAATGACGTGAGATAGGCATCCCACATGTAAATGAAGACTGCTCATTGCAGTTTCAAATGGACAGTTTCTTTCATTTGTTCTCCTCATTTGTTGATCACTAAGGTGAGATGAGCTCTTGGGCTGATCTTATGTAGATGTGCATGCATGGGTACATATACATTGTACCATTTTGGCAACCAAAAAAAAAGCCATCTCTTTTTCTAAATTTTTTTGTCTTTAGTGATTTTTTTCAAAAATATGTCAAAATTTTTTACTTTTCCGGTCCGTCTTGTTGAGAAGAATCTAAAAAGTTTTTTTTTTTTTGAAAAATTGTAGAAAAAAATCACTAAAGACTAAAATAAGCCAAAAGAAAAATGCCAAAAAAAGCACTTCCCAAAAGCCATTTTTTGATGTGCCCATATTTAGTACTTTCTAGTGAATAATATGCATTTAAACAACATGGACTTACATTTTTCATGCTTGGTATGGTTCAATAATGGTAAAAAATAATGCACTCAACAAAGTTTTTTCGTAAGACTTAGATTTCGGAGCCATGGTCCCTCTGAACAAGTGCATGATTTGTCACCCGTGCATGCTGTAAGCACCAATTTTGGATGATCTGTTCTGAAAAGGTGCACTGTTGATGATATTATGGACACATCAGTAGGTATTTCATCTTTTGTGCTAATGAGTTGATGAGCCCCTGTTTGGTTTTTTCACAGATATCTCTCACTAGATTCAACACTTGTAAGGGCTTATGGTTTTATAGATTTTGATTTTGAGATAGAGTCATCTTCCATGAAGCACACAAAAGGTTCATTCTACCTTTTTATACCTGAGGTAAGCTTACATTCTTTTCAACATTTATTCTTGTTACTGTCCTGTGCTTGCATTTCTTCTCTTCCATTCCATGTCTATTAGTATCCATTGAAACTAGTTTACATCTGTGTTTTGGTATATGTCTTTTTCATTTTAGCAAAGAATTGGGATTTAGACTTTGTTGGGTTGTGTGTTTGTTTTTTTGTTCCTCAGTGGAGAGCTGCTCTGCACATGTATATTGAAATGAGAATACTTTTCAACAGATTGAGTTAGATGAACTTGAAGGTATATCTAATTTAGCTGCAACATTGGTATGGGATGACTCTTCCCTTTGTACATTTGAGGAGGCTGTTCAATCTTACGAGTTAGCTCTCTACCAGGTATTCCAAGGTTCTAATCTCTCAGTTATCCTTTCCCTTCTTTATTTTAGATTCAACTAGTACAAAAGTTAAGACTGGACCAATGTTCCGCAGACAATATTTATCCGGAACTGAATTATTCTTAGAAGAGTAGAAATACTTTGAGATTCGCTTAAAACTGCTTTATTTATTTTTGATAAATAAAACTGCTTTATTTTTGACCTACCGCCAATGATGATCCGACAATGTCTTGGATAGTTAAATTATGCTAAGATTCGTATTGGCAAGAGTTTCAAATGAGAGATTCATATTTTCTTGTCATCTTATGTACTTTTTCTTTTGGGGTTTAATTTCTCATTTCAGGCCAGTCATCATTTTTGCCCCACCATAGAGAAATGTCATAACAATTGCATCAATTCTGCTCTTAGAAAGTTCAATGTGATGGAGGATAAAAACACCCACATGGTATAGGTTCTTCATTTTTGTACTTCATTTAGGGCGTAAATTATATATATGGAATTCTTTTAAAGTACTTGCAGTCTTTGAGTGTTCTTTTTTTTGTTATTGAGCACTGCATTGTGTTGTCATGTTGATAGTTGCCCTACTTCTACCACATTGATGTCACAATCTATGTTTCTGGTTAATTGCTCTCTAGTTCTCCATTGAAATGACTTTCAAATTGGATGCATCTTTGAGACTAGAAGAATTATGTTCGAAGATTCTGCTGTTATGTTCTCCTAACAATTCAAATTTGTTAGATTATTTGTATGTCAACTCTTTCAATGTTCTACTGTCAACTGAGATGATTGTGTAGGTATGTATGAATGCTCTCTCTATGGGTGGAAAGGATCTTGGAAATGACACTATGGAACTGGTATCTCCTTTAACCTGGTACTTTTTTATCCTTCAAGTACTTTAGCTCTTATTGTTGATGGGGTGGGAAAAGGCTTATTATTTTTTTCTTAGGCTGGATGTTGCTTTTATTCTGTTAGAACTCTTGATGGAAAAACAATCGAAGCTGACTCTTTTCTTGACCTTTTCTCACAGAAAGAGATTTCATCTTCGTGTCAGTTCTCTGTCAGGCTTTCACATACTCTGGCAATTGCCAATAACATGGTATGGCACTATTATATTAGTAAATTGATTTGTACTTTCTATAATATTTTGCTAATATAACTAGAAGCTAGTACTAGGCCATGCATACATTGCCTGAGTTGTAAATCTTATGATATTTTTCATATGCACTTGGAATGGAGTCCCCTTACAACAAAGTGCACTCTAATTAGAATAACTAGTAGCAAGAACAATTAAACAAGGAAAGCGTTCAAATTCGATTATCTGGTGTAGAAGCTGGTCAACTGCAGTATATTATTCATCCATTTGTGATTGGGAATGTTTGCTAAATCACACAATTTACTACCGAAGACTTGGACATACTTTCACATCTCTGATTTGTCCTTCTTTTGTGTTTATTTCCCCCATAAATTCTAATTTATTTCTACGGTATTTTTTTTTTAATTTTTAATTTTTTAAATTTTGTTTCTTTCAATCTTAGAAATTAATCTGTCAAAGTGGCTTACTTTGTAACCAACTAGGCCTATCCTAGTTGGCCACTGTGACTCTCCTAAAGGCTTAGTCCCAAGGGAGAGGCCATGGGTTCAACTCTCCCTAAGGGGGAGTTGAATTAGGTGGCAAGCACTTGGTGCTTTGCAAGGGTGGGGAGGCTAACTCTCATAGGTGCTAATTTAACAATTAACAACTGACTTTCGCTGATTAAAAAAAAAATAAATTTGGCTTACTTTGTGCATGTTTATTTCCTGTACTGGTGGTTGTGTCTTTACAAATATTGTTTGGTTGTTTGATTTGTCAAGTTTGTAAGAAGATGGCTTTTTTCTTTCTGGCCTTGTTCACTGCAGACTTTGTTCCTTCACTTAGATAACACGCTTCTGGTTTACTAAGTAGATAGACATAATCTTTTACCGTCCGTTTCTACTAGAGTGTCCTTTTTAATCTATTGTTCTTTGTGTTTGGCCTGAATTGTTGTATGTATCTACCAATAGTTCTAAACATCTTGACACTGTATACTTATTTCTTTTCTTGTTGCTCCATGTCTCTTTCTGTTAGAAGGCATAATTCATAATGGTTGGCATGGGATTTCTAAATGTTATATGGAACTTTTGCATTCTATTTTATTCTAAATCAGCAACTGTTTTCATCATCACCCAAGCTTTTGCTTCTATATGTGAATTACATGCATGAGAAATGAATCCGCAAGTGAATTTGTGAGATGACAATTCAATCGTAGAAGTACTGAATTTGATTCATATCTTGTGGAAGACAACTGCACCTTTCTATGAGAAGTTTTTAATCTTTCTTACAATGTATTCAAAAAAGAACTTTTAAGACTGTAGGCATGCTTGGTTATCCTTGTCCGAAGAATTTCACTTGAGATTGAAGTAAAATATAATTAGAGTAGCCTCTACAAATGCTCTGCAGTTGACACTTCCCCCTCCCCTCTTTTAAGTTTGAGAAGGTTGTGCCTAAGTTCAAATTGGAACACTACTTGAATAGTTTTCACTCCAACTGATGGTCCAATAAGCAATTTCATTAATCACCTCTCTGCATACTTTAATTTACCATGTTTTGAATCCCTTGATTATCTTTTATTTCTATACTTCATGTCATTGGAGCATTGTTTTTGATGGGATATTCCTAAAATGCTCTGCTCTCGCGTTTGCTCCCGCTCCCGCTCGCGCACCCCGAATTGATGACTTAGAATTTAGACAGAGTTGAAAGGCAGCACACATTTTGTGTAGCCAGCTTAATATAGTTGGCACAAGGAAGTTTTCTCTGTTATTTTATTTTATTTTCAAAATTTAAAGTCTTAACACCAACTCTAATAAAAGAGTCTTCGTTTCATTTAAACATTTAAATATGTACAGTACCATCCAATTTGGCATAGCAATTGGCTTTCGTAGGCTTTTTGACAAGTTGGATCTCAGTAAAATCAAACACTTGTGATGTTTGAATGAGGCTAGCTGAACATGGTAATCTCTTGCTTGGCCCAAACAAAAACCTCACCAGCCTTGTATCCTGTTTTGTTTGGCTTTCTTTTGCCCCTAACTGAAGGGATTTATTATTATTATTATTATTTTTAAAAGAATAATAAAAGTAATCATGCATGAGAACTCTTTTATGGTCTGAAATATTAGGATCATGGGCAAGAATGATCACAAAGGTAAGTGAAGTTAAGGTGATGTTCAGATGAATTACTTAGATTATATTGGTGTCCCATTAAGTTTTGAATTGTAAACATCATTTCAAATGGTTTGAATCTGTTCTAGACGAACAACAACAATGTGCATGAGATTTAGTGAATCTTAGTTGAAAGGCCAAGTGGGTAGTGTGAAGGATGACATGGAATGCTTTGTAAAATATTTATTCTCATGCTTTCAACAAAGATTATAGTTTTTGTTGGCTGGAATTGCTTATCAGGATTGTGTTTCCAGATCCAATTAGTTCAAAAGATTCCTCAGAGGATACATGATCCAGCATTGCCAAACATGACAGCCTATATAAAGTAATTCTGCCCTAGTCATGTTGGTAAATCCTAATGGGTTTCTTGCCATACTTCTGTTTTGCATGTCATCTGTTTTAATGGTTGAAATGAAAAATAATTCATTTCCCTGGTTCCTTCTTCCTTTTTCCTTCAAGAACTTAGTCAAAGATTGTTCAGGCTTAGTTGCTTAAAAGATCCTAACTCATAAACCTGTTTAGTTAAGCGATTTATGGATTATCGCATGGTTTCTAGTTCATTCTATTATTTCATATGTTATGTTTATAGTTTAACATGTTATAATGGCAGAAACTTAGTCAAAGATTGTTTAGGCTTTGTTGCTTTTCTAGTGTCAGCTGGATCATGTCAACGAAATGTGCCTCTCTTTTCGAAATTATCCCAACATCAATACTCTGTGGGCGTCTCTTATAATTGAAGAATGCTCTCGGCTTGGTTTGACGGTAAGATTAAGTTTGATATTCTATTCCATCTCTATTGGGATACATGTTTCTGATTTATTCTTCATCTAGTATTTCTGTATAGCTCCAGGATCACGATCGTCTCCACTTGCTATTGCTGCTTCTACTCATCCCCATATGACTTGTATTTCGTGCTTTGATGAGCGCTCACTAGCATTCCATGCAGTTGGTTATGCTAGAGGTTCTCATAAACCAGCAGTAGTCATAACATCGTCAGGCACTGCAGTTTCAAATCTTCTTCCTGCTGTGAGTTCTATTGAGTGCCATTTACATACATATTTATTAACTAGCTTCAAGTTGACATTTCAAATCTATCTTTACTTTCAGATAATTTTTGTGTTCCATTCTTACATTTGTTTGTCATTTAGTTGGGTTGAAAACAAAGAAAAATAAAAATAAAAATCTTTTTTCTTATCATTAAACCTTGTTTATTGCCAGCCTCTATGGAAACTTGTTTCATGCTTACTCTTGTTTTCTTTGCATCATTAAACTTAGTTTTCTCCCCCCCCCTCTCTCTCTCTCTCTCTCTCTCTCTCTCTCTCTGTATTTGTGGGTGGGTGTGTAACGAGACCTGTTCTTCCCTCTCTCTTTGCATCTCAATCTTCTTCAAAGGATTTTTTATTATTTATTTTTAAATAGCAATGTGTGCAAAATATTTTGCTGAGCTTTTGATTCTTCAGTACAATATGTACTAAATGATATTGCATAGGTTGTGGAGGCGAGTCAAGACTTTGTACCACTGCTGTTACTCACTGCAGATCGTCCTCCAGAGCTGCATGATGCTGGAGCAAACCAAGCAATCAATCAGGTACACTAATATTTCTTTCCTGTTACCCAATTATCTTTAGCAATATTATACTCTACTCTATCAAGAGGAACTTTCTAAATAACATTAGATTGTAAAATGGGTTAAGTGTCTTTTGTGAGTAATATTAAAATTTTAAAAACAAAATAATTATAGGAACTCTGAACATTTGATATTTGATAATGGTAGGAATATTCAAAGCGATTTAAAAATTAAACTTGTGATGAGTAAGAAAATTCATTCATAATGTAATAAGCAATCACACATATAGAGTGAGAAAAACCCTTTTTTTGATCAGCAACAAAAATAAATTTACTAAAGGGATAAAAAAGTACAATTAAGATCTAATATTTTTATTTGTTCCAGATAACATTCAGTTTATAATCTAATACTTTTCACTCCATATATTTTATTTGTGTTCCCAAAAATCACATCTTTCTGTTTTTTATTATAGGTAAACCATTTTGGTCCGTTTGCGAGGTTCTTCTATGGCCTTCCTGCACCCACTGATAGCATTCTTGCACGGATGGTTCTTACCACACTTGATTCTGCTGTTTATTGGGCAACCAGTTCACCATATGGTCCTGTTCACATCAACTGTCCTTTTAGGGAACCATTGGATAACAGTCCACGACAGTGGATGTTGAGCTGTTTAAAAGGGTTAGATTTTTGGATGTCAAGTGCCCAACCATTTACGAAGTATTTCCAAGTGCAGTATTCTTATGCATGCAATGGTACTCACAGTCAAGTGGCAGATGTTCTAGAAGTGATTCAAGGGGCAAAGCAAGGGCTTCTACTGATTGGTGCAATTCATAGAGAGGATGACATATGGGCAGCTCTTCTCCTGGCTAAGCATCTTTCATGGCCAGTTGTAGCTGACATTTTATCAGGTTTACGATTGAGAAAGTATTTGACTTACTTGGACATTGAGAAAAACTTTTTATTCATTGATCATCTGGATCATTCTCTACTCTCAAATTCGGTCAGGGGTTGGGCACATGCTGATGTGATTGTTCAGGTTCGTTTCTTCTCTCTAGTTACATTTAAGTGCATGTGCTAGTACTCCAAAGAAAAACTTATTGACACGAAAGATAAACATAATTACTTCTTCGTGATAATGGTACTTGATGTTGAATTTAAGGACTACATTGCATTCGAAATTGTTTTGGACACAAGGACTAGAGTATGTTTATTGTTTTTGGTCATGTGTCTAGGCATGGGATTTCAAATCCAAGGGCAGAAGCACATAGCTAAATTATCAGAATATTCCAAATTCTTTTTTTATTTTATGGGGTAGTTTGATCACCCATTCTAAAGCAACCATGTAACACCATAAACAAAAGGAGAGTCTTTTGTACAAACAATTTACACATGCATTCATGCCTTGGTGTCCAGCAATACTTAATGCTATTGGAAGAGTGCTTGTGACATTAAAACGATAACTTGGTAAAACAAGAATTGTTTAATGATTTGTTGAAATTCTTTGTTTTCTTCGTAACTGTTGCAAAAGTGAAAAAGCTGACTGCTTGTGTTGTGTTCGACCTCTTTGAAGCCAGACCCAAGTGGCAGCATGTGTAGAAAGGGGTGACCTTAAAAATGTTTAGGCAAATTTAAACTGGTGATTAGAACTCATTGCTACCAGAATGGGTGCCTGAAGCAAGAAATGCAAGAGAAAAGGACACCATAAAACACAGTCCAATATATAGGGATAACAGTGCAAAAGCAATTTTTTCCATTTGAACTAGAAAGTTACTTCCTGAGAAAATTTTGCAAAGAACTCAATGCATGAGAAACCTATAGCAAACCACTATAGAACTTTTGCTGAAACTGGGAAAGAATTAAGAAGATTTTCTAGGGAAGCCTTGGGAACACCAAATGAAAGATGAGACTTTGTTTTTGGAAGTCAGTTTTCCAGTCATTTCTCTACCGTTAAGTTCTCCAGGCACTTCCGAGTGCATCAAAAAGACATTGTGAATAAAAGGCAACTAATGTTTCTATACCAACTAATTTGGTGTTTGTGTTACATGGACTCTGCTATTTCCCCCAAGGTACCCGTGTTCATCAAATATGACAAGGGTAAGGGTGTGAGATATGTGTCCGACACCTGAACTCAATTTAGACACTTAGATCCTCTATTTTTTTACAATGTTTGAAGAAGAAATTCACATTTGCTAGTAATAAATCATTTCTAGCTTCTCACATGGGATGAGAGAGAATTTTATATTTTTCCTAAATCCTATTTAATTTCAAGTATATTTCTACATAATTTACAATATATTCTCTAAAAATATTATACAATATGCAAAACACATAAGTGTACATGACATGTCCCATGTGTTAGTATATTATATGATTATCTGAGTGTTAGCATATTAGTTTGTAATTATTCTATGCCTCAGGGCTTCCTTGTAATTTTTACAAACTTTAATTTACATTTATATAAATAGGGGATGATATCCTATCAAACCCTAAGCTGGTTACTCTCTAAAAGCTTCATGGTATCAGAGCAGAACCTCTAGGGTTTCGGCTCACCCTTGTTGGTCGACCTTTGCACCAACGATCACTCTAGGGTTTGAAACTTACCTGGGTTGGTCATCTGCTGGAGTCGACTTCTCCTATGCCATCGAGCAGCTTCAGTTGTCGCTTATCTCCTCTGCTTGGTCACGTCATCACTTCGTCGATCTCCACTTCGTCACTTCGTCGATCTCTGCTTCGTCACTTCGTCATTCAGTCGATCTCCTCTGCTCATCTTCAGTTCGTCCTTCGTCAATCTTCAGTCGACCGATCTCCTCTGTCGCCTTCGTCACTCAGTCGCCTTCGTCTTCGTCACTTAGTCGATCTCCTCTGTCGATAGACCGATCTCCTCTGGTATTCCCTCTGTTTGATCTTACCTTGATATGTCGTGTATAGGCTTTTGATCTTCAACATAGGTTCTCAAAAAAAAACAAAAAAAACAAAAAAAATATTTTCTTAATTTTGTTATGCCTTTATAGTGGTTATTGTGTTGTTCTTTCACCACCACCTTCCGGGTTTGTGATTGTCACTAGTTTTGTTGCGGGTTCGGTAGTATAGTATCCATGGCAAATTCCACCAGTGTGTCCCCTACCTCTCAAATACCTAGGAGTGAGAGTCCCATTATGCATACTACCATGCCTGATAACCCCAACCTTAGTCTGAAAATCACCACCTCTCTATTTAATGGTCAGAACTATCTAGCATGGTCTCAGAGTTCGACTATATTTTTGAAGAGTAGAGGAAAGATGGGGTATGTTGATGGCAGGATACAGACACCTGGCACCACTGACCTGGGTTATGACCAATGGGAGATTACTAACTCTTTGATTATGGGTTGGCTTATTCATTCGATGATTCCATAAATTGGTGAGGGCTACTTGTCTACGGAGACTGCCCAGGATGTTTGGGATATTGTGGCTGCCACCTATTCCCGCAAAGGGAATTTCTCACAGGCTTTTGAGTTATGCCGCTCTATTGAGAGCTCTCTTCAGGGGGAGCAGACTATTCTTTAGTATTTCACCTTTCTCACCAACGGCTGGAAACGCCTTGATCGCCTGTAAGACTATAAGCCTGTTTGCCCTGTTGATTCTGTGGAGACAAGAAGTTCATCGCACAGGAACATGTCTTTAAATTTCTGGCAGGCCTAAATGTGGAGTATGATCCAGTTAGGAGTCGAGTTCTGGGTATGGACACTCTTCCTTCACTTCAGGAGGCATTTGCCTATGTACAGAATGAGGAGAGTCACTGGTTTGCTATGATATCCCCTGTTTCTACTGACCGCTCAGCATTACTGTCTACCTCTCGAGATGGCCTCAGCCTGACTCCCATCCCTCCATCTGCTACTAAGGAGTCTGTATTCTGTGAGTATTGTAAGAAGTTGCGGCATACTCGTGAGACGTGTTGGAAGCTTCATGGGACTCCATTCGGGGGTCGCGGTGATCGGTCTGGTTCTAGAGGAGGTCGGTCAGGCCAGTCTAGAGGACGTGGCTCCTATTCCCGGGCTCATCAGTCCAGTGCCGTTGACACACTTGATTCTAATTCTGTTTTCGCGAGCCAAGCTTCTGATGTTGACCTTGAGGATGCTCTGCGCCAATTGCTGGACCGCCGGTCTTCTACTGCTCTCAGTACATCTTCCTCATCCTTTGCCCGCTCAGGTAACTTAGCCTCTTCTCCTTGTGTTTTCTTGTGTCATAAGTCTTTGCATTGGATTATTGATTCCGGTGCCTCAGATCATATGTCTGGCTCCTCTGATCTTTTCTCTGCCTATAAGCCCTTTTCAGGTCAGGACAAAGTTAGGATTGCAGATGTTATTGTTTCTTCCATTTTTGGGAAAGGTTTAGTCCAAGTCACTCCTACCATACCTCTATATTTTGTTCTCCATGTTTCCAATTTTCTGTTAATCTGTTATCCTTGAGTCATCTTACCCAGGACTTGAATTGTAGTGTGACATTTTTTCCTGATCATTGTCTTTTTCAGGACCTTATCACAAGGAGGACGATTGGCAGTGGTAGTGCAGAAAATAGTCTCTATTTCCTGGATCAACTGGACAAGCTTGCTTATTCTTCCACCATGTCTTTTACTACCCCCGCTGAGTTATGGCTGTGGCATCGGCATCTTGGGCATCCTTCCTTTTATTTACTTAAGCATTTATTTCCATCTGGTTTTGCAAATCATCATGTGTCTGAATTTCTTTGTGAGTCTTGTCAACTTGGAAAACAACACCGAGCTTCTTTTGCTCCCAGTTTTAATAAAAGTTTAGTTCCTTTTTCATTAATACATTCTGATGTTTGGGGTCCCTCTCGTGTTATGTTTGTGAAAGGTCATCGATGGTTTGTTACATTTATTGATGATTTTTCTCGTACTACTTGGGTGTATCTCATGAAAGATAAGAGTGAGGTTTTCTATGTGTTTCGCAATTTTCAAAAGATGATTTGTACTCAGTTTGGGGCCACTGTCAAACTATTTCGTTCTGAAAATGGCGGGGAATACATAGATTGTGGGTTAGGACAATATTTTTCTACTCGTGGCATTATCTATCAGACCTCTTACACCAATACCCCTCAACAAAATGGGGAGGCGGAACGCAAGAATCGGCATCTTCTTGACATGGCTCGGTGCATGTGTTTTTCTATGAGTGTGCGTCGACCCTATTGGGGCGACGCTGTTCTCACCGCTGCACATCTTATTAATCGTCTTCCTACCCACGTCTTGCAAAAACAAGCTCCTCTTTACGTCATTCTAGGTTTCTGATAATGGCGGGGAATACATAGATTGTGGGTTAGGACAATATTTTTCTACTCGTGACATTATCCATCAGACCTCTTACACTAATACCCCTTAACAAAATGGGGTGGCGGAACGCAAGAATCGGCATCTTCTTGACATGACTCGGTGTATGTGTTTTTCTATGAGTGTGCTTCGGCCCTATTGGGGCGACGCTGTTCTCACCGCTGCACATCTTATTAATCGTCTTCCTACCCAGGTCTTGCAAAAACAAGCTCCTCTTTACGTTATTCTAGGTTTCTAGTACTTGTTTTCTATTCCTCCCAAAATATTTGGTTGTGTCTGTTTTGTTCATAATCGCTCTCCTACTCGTGGTAAATTGGACCCTCGCTCCCTCAAATGTGTGTTCCTTGGTTACTCTTACTCAAAAGGGGTATAAGTGTTACCACCCTCCTTCTCGTAAGTGGTTTGTATCCATGGATGTTACTTTCTTTGAGTCCTAGTCCTATTTCTTGCCCTCTCCGGTGTCCCTGTCCTCATTTCCGGGGGAGCCTTGGTGTGAAGTGAGTCCTGTGATTCCTATGGTGGAACCAGTTGTTCTTGCACCACCCTCTTCTACTAGGACTATAGAACCCAATGTCACTAAGGATAGGGAAGGGTATGTTTATGTCCGGGACATAGACAGACAGAAAGTTAACTAGATGCAAGGGACCACTTCTGCTCCTCCACTGCCATCTCCTGCTTCTGATGAGAGTCTAGGTAACTTTGAATCTCTTGAGTCCATTGATCTTGATGTTCGGAAGGGTGTGAGATCTTGTACTCAACATCCTATCTCACATTTTGTGTCCTACTCTCATTTGTCATCCTCATATAGAGCGTTTGTGTCATCTATTTCCTTTGTTAGCATTCCTAACCATTTTCAAGATGCTCTTGCTACCTCTGAGTGGAAACTAGCCATGATTGAGGAAATGAAAGCCCTTAGGGAGAATGGCACTTGGAAGTTGATTGAGTTACCTACTGGCAAACGACCTGTGGGATGTAAATGGGCGTATACTGTGAAACACAAAGCAGATGGTTCTATTGAGCGTTTCAAGGCAAGACTTGTGGCAAAAGGGTTTACTCAAACATATGGCATTAATTATCAAGAGACCTTCGCACCCGTGGCTAAGATGAATTCAGTCAGAGTACTCATCTCTCTAGCAGCTAATCTAGATTGGCTGCTTTATCAGTTTAATGTCAAGAATGCCTTTCTCCATGGTGACCTCAAAGAAGAGGTATATATAGATATTCCTCCTGGTTTTGAGGATCATCAGACAGAAGGCAAAGTATGCAAGCTTCGGAAGCCATTATATGGTCTTAAACAGTCTCCAAGGACTTGGTTTGAGAGATTCACTCAGGCTATGCTTAAATATGGCTTCAAACAGAGTCAGGCAGATCACACCTTATTTGTGAAACATTCCTCACGTCGTAAGACTACAACACTTATTGTTTATGTAGATGACATAGTTCTTACGGGCAATGATAGTGGGAAAATATCTCTGTTGAAGAAATATTTAGCTAATGAGTTTGAAATCAAAGACTAGGGAAGCTTGAAGTATTTTCTGGGAATTGAAGTTGCTCGCTCCAAGGATGGAATATTTATCTCACGAAGAAAATATGTGCTTGACCTGTTGAAGGAAACTGGGATGCTTGGCTGCAAAGCATGTTACACTCTACTGGAACCCAATCAGAAATTGGGGGATGATGAAGGCAGAGAAGCTGTTGATAGGGGGAGCTATTAGCAATTAGTGGGTAAGCTCATTTACCTATCTCACTCATGTCCTGATATTGCTATTGCTGTCAGTGTGGTTAGTCAGTTTATGCATGCTCCTCATCAGATTCACTTTGAGGCTGTCAAGAGAATCTTGAGGTACTCGAAGTCTACTCCTGGTAAGGGTCTTTATTTTTCAAAGTATGATCATCTTCGTGTGGAAGCCTATACAGATGCTGACTAGGCTGGATCAGTAACTGATAAGAGATCAACTTCAGGGTATTGCACCTTTGTTGGAGGCAAGCTAGTTACTTGGAGGAGTAAGAAACAGAATGTGGTTGTCAGGTCAAGTGCAGAAGCTGAGTTTAGAGCTATGGCACAAAGGGTGTGTGAACTTTTATGGATCAAGTTATTGTTGAGTGATCTAGGTATTGATCAGACGGACTCCATACGGTTATACTGTGATAATAAGGCTGCCATCAACATCGCTCACAATCCAATTCAACATGACAGGACAAAACATGTTGAGATTGATCACCACTTCATTAAGCAGAAACTCACTAGTAGTACCATTTGTACTCCTTTTGTCCAGTCTGGTGAACAACTTGTTGACATTCTCACCAAGGGGGTTGGGAATAAGCCATTTCATGACATATTAGGCAAGTTGGGCATGAGAGATATCTTCGCACCAACTTGAGGGGGAGTGTTAGCATATTATATGATTATCTGAGTGTTAGCATTTTAGTTTGTAATTATTCTATGCCCCAGGGCTCTCTTGTAATTTTTACAAACTTTAATCTACATTTATATAAATAGGGGATGATATCCTATCAAACCCTAAGCTGGTTACTCTATAAAAGCTTCACCATGCTCATATCCAACTTTTGGATACATATCGCAATATCCTAGATTTAAGGTTATGAAGGTCCAATGCAAAAAAATAGAAGTGCACATGACATGTCCCATGCTCATATCCAACTTTTGGATGCATATTGCAATATCCTAGATTTAAGGTTATGAAGGTCTAACACTTGAACATGTATGTACCTGCACATGAGTCCATGTAACATAGGTTGGTGTTATGCCTCAATGGTTCTATACCAACTAACGTTGGTGTTCTTCTTCTTTTTTTTTATTTTTTATTTTATTTTACTACTGACCTGTAACTATTTGGGTTAGACTTTCAGTTAAGGAAAAAAGATGACATAGGGGCCAAGCTAAATGATAATTGAGCCATGAAAGTTTTAATTTCTTTCGGGTCTTGTTTCTTTTGTTTGGGGTTGAAAGTAATACGTTTTTAGGTTTTTGCAACGTCACATTCCAATAATTCAATGTTAGTGACAACAAACAAGGCATACACATTTTGCAATAAAATTTCTTTTGGGCATGTTTGTATGCTTAATGTGTCTCTTTTAAACTGAAACCATATCCTTCGAATCTTGTTGGTGAACTTTGAATTTTTGCATTACAACAGATTGGAAGCAGGATAACAAGTAAGCGAATTTCTCAGATGCTAGAGGATTGCTTTCCATGCTCATATATAATAGTGGAGAACCATCCAAGTCGTCATGATCCTTCACACATTGTAACACACAGGATTCAGAGTACCATTGTTCAATTTGCTGATTGTATGCTTAAAGCTCACATACCTCAGATCAGCAGCAAATGGTGTGGTTTTTTACAAGCTGTGGATAAAATGGTATATGTTCTCTAATTATGACGTTTTCTTTACTACCTCTTTTATTTGAACATTTTTTATTTTTCTTTCAGATTTTGATACATTGTGACTCCGTGGACCTCCTTTAGAATTTTAATCTTGCTGAATATGGGGTCTGGCATGTTGGACAAGGTTGTAACTCAAGTTAGGTTGGTTTGACTGAGGTCTTTGACAATTAACATGCAGCCATAGAAAACATCAACAAACTAGGAAATCAAGAAACTCGATCACTAAAAAAAGCAGCCATAGAAAACATCAACAAACTAGGAAACTAAGAAACTTGACCACTAAAAAATGTTTACACCTACGCAACGACATGAACTGATTGGACAGCATGACTTGATCCATAAGACAACCTATGGTCCTATGGACGATCTTTACAGCTCATGCACAAAAACTTCAGAAACTAACAAGGTACAATTGACTACTGAAACCTCGTAATGGGCAATAAATCTGTCTAGCATCATACTAATATGTAAAATCATAAAATCAAGACTCAAATTGACCTTAGATATGATTATATAATCTCTAAGGTGTGCCCCATGTGAAATTCCTAATTTGCCTATTTTCTTATTTCCGTGTCCCGCATCATTCTCCCAACATTAAAAAAGAAAAATAAAAAATAAAAAATTTAACCTCTAGTTTTATAGTTTTAATAAAAAACTTATTCTCCCAACATTATATAATCTCTAGTTTTAATTCAATGAATCTATTTCACTTCATCACACTACTTTTAATTGCAATATGCAGCTGATTGTGGGTCATTGTTTTAATGTTTTTTTTCTTCCCCTTAAAATGATCTTTTGTTATTCTCATTGCATGATGGGATGGAGGTTTATAATTTCTTTTATTTTGATCTCTTCATGCTCTTTTTTTGTAAGTTTTTGTTTTCATATTTTCTAGGTTGCATGGGAGATATCATTTCTAATCCATTCGGAATATTCCTTGACTGAACCCTATGTTGCACATGTCATTCCGGAAGCACTTCATGGTGATTCTGCTGTATTTCTTGGGAACAGCATGCCAATACGTGATGTGGACATGTATGGATGTAGCTGGGCAGGGTGTACTAATAATATTGCTGTGACGGTGAGCGCAGGACTACCGTGTCACTGGATACAGGTGGCTGGGAACAGGGGAGCTAGTGGTATTGATGGGTTGCTCAGCACAGCTGTTGGTTTTGCTGTGGGATCCAACAAACGAGTGAGTATTAGAAGATCTATCTATGAAAGAATTCATTTTATGTGAATTTTAGTTTCTAGTCGCAGTTTGTGTTGTCTATCTAAGTTGGATGACTATCATGTTGCTGCATGTAATGACATAATGGACTTGTTAAATGCCAACATACATTTCTAAAAACATGCAAATTCATTTCCATGAATATTTGTTTTGTTTGAGATTTCTAGTTGATTGAAAGTTGGAGGTTTGTTGTGTTGCTGGTAGAGTTACTATGTGTGGGTTATGACATGTTAATGTAGTTTAGATTACAGCACCCAACATCCCTATTATGCAGTGTTAGAGCTATTATTTACAGCATAACTCAAGAAATAGTATTGATTATATGTTATTATTATTTCTGTGATATCTCCAGCACCTGTGATCTTTACCATAGAATATTCCTTGTAAGAAATAATGTATAGAGAAAGAGAGAGAATAAATTGTATGTATTATTATTGATTGATATATTGATTGATGTATGTTTATTGATATTACGAATGGTGAGTGGCTCATTATATAGGAGAGGGTGAGTGTAGTAGGTGAGGAGTAGGTGAAGTGGAGGTGGTTGTGGTGTAGTGGGTTAGGTAGTTGATTGAAAGTTGGAGGTTTGTTGTGTTGCTGGTAGAGTTACTATGTGTGGGTTATGACATGTTAATGTAGTTTAGATTACAGCACCCAACATCCCTATTATGCAGTGTTAGAGCTATTATTTACAGCATAACTCAAGAAATAGAATTGATTATATGTTATTATTATTTCTGTGATATCTCCAGCACCTGGGATCTTTACCATAGAATATTCCTGTATACAGGGCTAAGAACACTTTGGTTGGTCGAGTATAATCAACACTTGCCTTGTAGTGCCATTTGCAATGCTTAACTAAAGAGTGAACCCACCAACGAAGCTCAAGCTATTCAGTCAGCAGCAAAGCGTCGTCGTCGAGTCTATGTGAAAGATCATCCATTAATCTTTCAACGTAACTCCAATTAGCGCGATAACTCTCAACGAGCATCCAACGCACGTGAAATGATAAGGATTCATAATCCTGGAATAAAGTGAGTGTGAGAGGTAAAGGGGATCAAAATGTGTCATCGATAGAGTGAGGTCTTTCGGGACCTTCCCAACAACAGCTTAGCTTAGTAGCTTTATTTCTACTGGTGTGGTCTATGAAGCACCAACACGTCCCCAGGCCTTGCGTATGAGTGTTGGACACGTGTCGGACATGAACACGGACACGGACACGGACACCCGTCGGACACGCGGTAGACACGTGTCCGACACTCTCTCTAACGTGTCTCATTTTTTTTTTGAAATCTTCCAGTCAGACACGCCATGGACACGGCGGGACACTTTCCGGACATGCGTGAGGTGGATCGAAGAAGCCTTAACTGTTGGAGAGGAGATAGCAGAGAAAGAGAGAAAGAGATCGAGGGAGATAGAGAAAGAGATCGACGGAGACAGAGAAAGAGAAAGGGATCGAGGGACGAGAGGAGACAGAGAAAGAGAGAAAGAGATCGAGGAAAAGGGAAAGGAGAAGCCTAACCTGCTCAGATCAATCCAAGAAACTGAGGTATTCTGCTTCTTCTCTTCTTCTCCTTCTCTGTCTCTATCTTCTCTGGCTCCATCTTCTCTGGTCTTCTTCTTCTCTTCATCTTCTTCCTCTCCTCCTCCCTTTCGTCTCTCCCTTTTCTGACTCTCTCTCTCTCTGCCTTTTTGACTTCAATCTCTCTCTCTCTCCTCTATTGTTTATCTTCTATATTTTTTTTTCTTCTCTTTTTCTTGATTCAACATTTCTCTCTCTCCCTCTCTTTTTTTCTTTTTTCTTTTTTTTATACTAATTTTTTTGTTAAACTTAAAATTCATAAAAAAAATTATTTTTATTTAAAAAAACTCATTTTTTATTACTCTCCTCTATTGTTTATCTTCTATATTTTTTTTCTTCTCTTTTTCTTGATTCAACATTTCTCTCTCTCCCTCTCTTTTTTTCTTTTTTCTTTTTTCTTTTTTTATACTAATTTTTTTGTTAAACTTAAAATTCATAAAAAAAATTATTTTTATTTAAAAAAACTCATTTTTTATTAATTTTTTTTTAAATTATGTTTATTAATTTTATTATTATTGTGATTGTATAAGAATTAATGATTTTATTTTTATTTTAAACATGTAATAAATAAATAAAATTATATATATTAAACGTGTCCCCAGCGTGTCGTGTCCCCTATTTTTTGAAAAATTGCGTGTCTGTGTTGTGTCCCGTGTCCGTGTCCGTGTCCGTGCTACATAGGGTGTGGTGATGCTACAAATACAAAACCGTGTGCAAATGAAAGTCCGTTTCTGATTTATTCTTGCTGCAGTAGTAGATAAATGTACTTATCGTTTTCTAAGTCGTTGACAGGAACTTTTGTCCACGATATTCACCCAAGGTTACAATTTTCACCTTATAATCTGATATGGAAAGATCTTATGGAAAATTTGATTCCAATGGATGGTAATGACCTGAACATATGGTATTACTGCAAGATATTGAAGTTCCTAGCAAACTTGAGAAATATGCAAGTGACATTTTTTACACCTTCAGATATGCTGCCACAATTCATGAATTATTTATTCCCCAAAACTATATTCTTTATGGCATTGAAATTACATATAGTACTTCAAAACCCTGAAAATGATCTGATTCCTTTTCACCTTAAGGTGCCAATTGCCAAAGTTGTTGACACAATTGCTTGACAGAGTAAATATCCAAACTTTGTCAACAATTCATTTTTTGTTTTTGGAAATTCATGCAATCTTTTATAGCTTCCATATTTATGAGCTTGAGCTATTGTCTAGTATGGGAGATTGTTAGAATTGGGAATTTTGATCATGCTAACAATTGATCTTGAGGAGGAAAACTTTGATCATGCTGAGAACAAAAAAATTGTAGTAAATAGGAAAAATTAATAATGGTTGCCCAGTAAAGGCTGAATGTTAAGGGGGACAAAAACACCCAAACAATTCAAGAAAGAAGGAAGTAAAATAATATTCTTTGAACTGAGCATAGAGCCTTTAGGGAAGATATTTAATGAATCAAAAAAAAAAAAAAAAAGAAAAAGAAATTGGGTAAAAAGACCTAAAAATTGGATTTTTGAAGTGCACAAGCATTTTGAAAATTCATTCAATTTCAATTTGATTTCATAAATATTTTCCAATGTCAGAAGATTCTTGAAACACTAACATTTTTCTGTGGAAATTGCTTAAGATTTTTGACATTCTTCGAATTTCATTTATCACTGACGTTCAGCAATTTAAATTTTTTCTTCTGAAATAACACGATATGCTTAAGTGAAATATTAGAGAATCAACATTTATTGTTCAATTTTTATACGGATTGTATGTGAAAAGTAGTAATGCTTGTCTCAAAATGACTATCAAGTTACATAGATCCAGCAAAAAGGAATATTAAGTTGTCTTGGGTTACGCTAGTAGTTTCATATATGGATGCGAGCTTTGGCTTATATTTACTGGGTCATTTTACTATGGGAAAAGAAATAAAGAGTCCCTTCTTGAGTGAAAAAAGAATTGAATAGAAAAGCAAAGAAACGAAAAATTAGCTGAATCATTAGAATTCCACAACCTGAAATCCGAGTCGAAGGATCCAGGCTGTGGAGTTTTAGTTGGATCTGACTAAACGGCAATTTTTTGAATGAAAATTGGATCAAAATGTATGCATGGATTATGAATGCCTGTTGATTTTGTGATAGCAGAGAAACATACAATTGACATAGAACAAGAAGTCATTAGCTGCATCAAAGTCTATTTGGATAAATTTCTCTTTACTGTGATTTTTTAAATTGTTGGATCTTTGGAACATTCATTGCTTTCAACCTTCTGTAACCTGCTTGTTACTTTCTTTCTATTTTCCCCCCTTTTCTATTCAGAGTAATCATTTTGCTCCTGATAAATTCAACAACAAATTTCTTGAAGTCATAAGACTGCTTGCCTTGTAGTTAATGCTTCTTAGTATTTTCTTGATTTTGCCAACGTTGCATTTGTTCATACTTCTGTGGTTATGCTTAGGTAATTTGTTTGATTGGAGATGTTTCTTTTCTGCATGATACAAATGGATTGGCACTTTTGAAGCAAAGGTAACAAGTTCGTTTATTTAGTTATGTACATAATTTGGTGCATAATTATGCTTCTGTTCACATTGCTAGATCATCTCATATGCTTGCTTACATGGAGATATCCATGGACAGTCATTACTATGCCAAACAAAACTTTCTACAAATATTTTGGTGAAACTATTGTCAAATCTGAACTTTTAAGTTGGACTCTTATCATAGCTGACATTTTCTTTAAAAGATCATTTTTACTGTATCTGTATTCTGTAGTTTAAGTTCCTACAAACTTTTGTTAGTCCTTTTTTGTAGATATAGGGGTGCTTCAGCCTGCCCTTCCTGAAATATGATTGCTCATTTTCAAGCAAAAAAAATCAAATATCTGGAGTTTAATTCCATTTTGGTTTCAATTTATTTCCTCTCGAACGAAAGAAAGTTGACTTTATTAAATTTGTGAAGCAGTGAAGGTACTTCATATAGTATTTTGTATAGAATTTTGTTAATGTGTGCCCTTAGGGCACATATTAAGAGGCTTAAAAAGATCGTACATACTGCATGAAAGTAAGTGCAATAAAGGATATGCAACTTTTTTAAGCCTCTAAACATGTGCCCTAAGGGCACATTTTAGCAATATCCTTTTGTATAAGGGGCAAAGAATTGAGCGAATAAAAGAAATTGCTAATCATTAGAAACTTTAACACAAATGTTCGACGTACAACTAAATTAATGAAAATTTCATTTAGTTCCTGAGTGCATTTTTACAGCTATCTTGAGATGAGTTTATAAAGGTTCTGCAGGGTTAGCATGGTTCTCTTCTCAGATCTTTATTCTCTAATGATTTCCCACCCCCCCTTAAGCATACATGGTATACCTAACTACTTATATTTTCATTTATAAGAGATGGTGCTATATACATCTTCTCAGAGTATTGAGTAATTGTTTCTATTTGAAGGTTACGCCGGAAACCTATGACAATTCTCGTAATAAACAATCATGGTGGGGCAATCTTCAGTCTCCTTCCTATTGCAGATAGAACTGAACGAAGAGTATTGGATCAGTATTTCTATACTTCTCACAATGTTTCAATTCAGAACCTGTGTGCGGCACATGGGTAAGAGTCTAACATATAAGTTGATACATATGTGTTATATGTCTGTTAATCTCCAACTAAATGTTCATTATCTTTTATTTTCTGTATTTCCATTCTGAGTTCGACAGTTTTTTGTAATCAGTTGTGTGACACTGTAATATCTCAATAAAATTGAATTTATAATACCTTGCTAGTGTTGGACATTAATATGTGCATATCTAGAATGGGTGCTGTTCATCAAACTTAATCGAATTTAATTTGCATGCACATGCATGCTCTTTTGTGATAATACCTTGAAGTTCCTTCATGTAATACTTTAGTTGAATCAGCATTCATAACTCCAATATATAGATCTGTGAATGAATGCTCAAGCAAAACACTCCTAGTGACAGAAGGGTGCACTTTTGAAGAAGATGAGAAAAGAAAACAAAAAGGAATACTTTATCATCTCATGAGTATAAGCAGTCTACATAGTGACATTTTGAAATAAACAGTAGTCCCATTATTACATAGAAAACAAAACCCTGCAGAGTTGTCAATTTTTGATAGTGTATCCATTATCTTTAGTTTCTCAACTGTTTATGCTCTTCTGTAAAGTTGCTAGCTGATGTGTCTGATTTTGCTTTTGCAAGATGACTTTATGTATGTAGTTCATTACTATCGCTTTCCTTTTATTGTCCTAGCCATTTGATGTACTAGTGAACTAGTTCTTTCTTCTTAGGTTAACAAAACCCCAATTTGTGCAGAGTGAAGCATGTACAAGTGCAGACAAAAATGGAATTGCAAAATGCCTTGTTGACATCTCAACAGGGGGAGATTGATTGGATCATAGAGATTGAGAGCTCTATCGATGCCAATGCTACTTTCCACAGGTAGGCAGATTGTATCATTGTTTGAGTGATTTACCTATATTGCCTCACACGTATCACCTCCATGCCCTGCTAACACATTTCCTCCCCTTCTTCTCAGTAAGTTGAGACAATTTGCATGTCAGACAGCAGACAATGCCTTAAGCCTTGTTTCAAGGCTTTCGATTTCAGATTATAAGTTAGATGGCTTCTTTCTTGTTGAAATTTGTAAAATGGAATACTCTCTCTATAGGTGAGATTTATTGGACTATTTTTTAAATATCTCCAAATCCTATTTTCAAACTCCAGAAATGTGTAATATATGTTTTTTGAACTTTTGTTGTGACAGAATTCAGCTATGTGCCCCACCTACTTCAACTTCTGTATACTATGACCCTAGGAGCTACTACAGAGAAGGTTTTATTGTAGTTTTGTCACTTGAAGATGGAAGTGTGGGGTTTGGTGAGGTTAGTATGTATGTTTATCTTCTTTTTTTTTCCGGTGTGCCTGGGAACATATCCAGTGCCCTTCCATTGTGGTAATAGGTTATAGACTATAGTTATTTGTCTCATATGTTCCATCATAAAAGTTATCATAATAAAAATTTAAAATAATCCTTAGCAACAACCACATTCATATGATCCAAGGGAGAGTATTTAGTATGTTGATCTAATCCAAGGTATGGAGTTCTTAGCTTTTGTCATAAAATGAGTATTACTATATCTATCACCTATTGGGATTTCAAAATTCTTTATCAAATTGTATAGCTCATAATTAGCCAAAAGGATTTAATTCCTTCAAATAATAATAGGACTATCATTTAAGTCATGCATTATGGGCTACGAAAAGGGTCTTATACTTTTCCAGTAAGTTTGTTCACCACTATATTATCTAAATGTTTAAACTGTTAAAGAGAGGTTTAAATTACAATGCACCTCAACATGCCTCCTCTATGTGTGGTGGCTTTCCACCCTGAGCAGGCTGAGTACGTGCAAGTATTACATCTATATAATCAATCCATTGTAACAAATCAACTCATTAATCAATAATACATACAATTTATCTCTATCAATATATTTTTACAGTGCAAGTATTATAATTAACAGATGTGGTGAGGTTTGAAGACAGGATCTCCTTTATGTAGTTACCATGTTAAGTTGTTAACCACCAACTTATCTAAAAGTTTGAACTGTTAGAGAGGGCGAAAGCTTATTTATTTATATCCTCTACACACTCTCATGTGTAACTAGGCTCTCCCCCATGATCGGGTCAAACATGAGCTAGTGTCATTATAACTATTGAGTAAAGAGGATTGCTATTGTATAAATTAAACGAAGCAAGTTAAGATAATGATATGCAATGAACTTAGACATTCAGGAGCTCACTAGATACGATGTTTGTTTGTACTGTATATCAGAATGGAAGTGCCGAAAATGTTGATAGGGTTTTATTCCTTTTCCATTGAAGGCTTCAATAAGAGATTAGGGTGTTTGATTCATTGCATTTGTAATAATGGAACTATTCTTTCAATGTCCAAATGCACTTCTGTGTTCTGTACTATGCATTTGTATTAAAAAAGTGCAGCTTTTTGTAACACTTTTATGTCTAAGGGCAGTTAAAAAGCCTAAAAATGCATTGGTAAGAGCACAATGCCATAAACTAGTACTTTTCCTGGAATTGGAGAAGAAAAGATTTGTGGTTGTAGTAATTTATTACTGTGGTTCAATCTCTGATGTATTGCAAGGCAACTTTAGTACGGTGGTTGACACCTACCAATGGCTCTGTTTTTCTAACAAAACAACTATAATTAGTTGGTGTGACTTGATTTTACTTACTGATGTGGATTTTCAACATCATAATTCATAAAATGATTCAGTTTTTGAGTTGAGATCTAAGAAGCATGGACACGGACACGTGACATGCCGACACGCCAATTTAAAAAAAATGCAGGACACGACACGTGGGGGACACGCATGAAATATATAAAATTTTATATATTTATCATATGTCATATGTATGAATGTATTATTTAAAGATAATAAAAAATGCAATATGACACTAATTCTTATAAATTTATATGCTTTTTGTTTTATTATTGTATCTTAAGTTGTTTTGTTCAAATTTATAATTAGTTTCACATATGTCTAATTGATAGACACGTGTGTTTAAGTAATAGACACATGTGCCCTCCAATTGTCCAAAGAGTGTCCGGGTCTTTAAAAAAAATTAAAAAATATGACACGTTTTGAAGTTTGTCAGACATGTGTTAGGGAAGTGTCCAAAGAGTGTCGTTGTCTGACATCGACACGAGACAGACACATCACCTTCTTAGAAGTGTCCGTGTTTCTTAGATTGAGATGCGTGTAGGCAGTAGCCCTTTAAATACTCTAATTCCCTCAGTTACATGAGAAAGATATGGATATAATAAATACTTGTTGCACTGCACAATTGTGATAATTGAAGGCAAAACTTTTGAAGTCCCCCCTTTGTGGAAGGAAGACAGGAACTTATGTACTTTATTGTCAAAATTTCCGTCATGGTACAATACATGTCAAACATATTATTTGTTAATCACAACCTTTCTTTGTGTTCTCCTCTTTCATCCTCTTAAATTTCTTTTCTTTTCTATTTTGAAAATAAAATTCCGTCCCTTACTGTTTCTCATAAAATATTATTTTGAACAGGTTGCACCTCTGGAGATCCATGAAGAAAACCTGATTGATGTTGAAGAGCAACTTCGGTTTCTTATTCATGCTGTACAAGCAGCAAAGATTAGTTACTTACTTCCTCTTTTAAAGGGCTCATTTTCTTCTTGGATATGGAACAGTTTAGGAATCTTGGTATGTCCATGCACCTTCATTCTACAAATACAATATTAATATTTCTAGATAGTATAATAACCAACAAAAGACGTTGGGTAAAGAATTTCACTAATCGTCTTCTGAACTTGTATGGATAAAAGTTTAAGCTCTTTCCTTGTTATATAGCCAGGCTCAATCTTTCCAAGTGTCAGATGTGGTTTGGAAATGGCAATCCTTAATGCTATAGCAGCAAGAGAAGGTTCCAGTTTATTGAATATACTCCATCGTGAGACAGCTACACAAGAAGAGTTATCTGAAAGGTCATCTACTGTTCAGATTTGTGCTCTTCTTGACTCCAACGGGACTCCTAAGGATGTTGCTGATATTGCTGCTGCACTTGTTGGAGAAGGTTTCACTGCAATAAAGCTAAAAGTTAGAAATCTTTCCCAAATTATACTGTATCGAGATTACTTTGTTCTAGATGAAATCTACTAAAGCAACTTGGCAATTTGGGCTCTTATTTCTGGAAAACTATTAGTGCACTGAAGGTTTTTAAATTACAAACTATCTGAAATACTAGCTGGCTTAGTAATGGTTCTTCCAATAACAGGTAGCACGTCGGCCAGATCCCATTGAAGATGCCATGGTTATACAAGAAGTTAGAAAGAAGGTTGGCCACCAGATTAACCTCCGTGCTGATGCAAATCGGAAATGGACCTATGAAGAAGCAGTTCTATTTGGTTCTTCTGTGATGAATTGTGGCCTACAGTATATTGAGGTAACTTCAAGTACAATTGGCTATTAATCCTTGTTGGTCAACAGAAAGGGTTGTGTTAGGTTTATTTGCTAGTACGCAGATTTTCTTTTGATAGGCATTGCATAGAGATTTTTAGTACTTCACAATACTAAATTGTGGTAATCACATATTGCCAGATTGACCATTTATTCTTGTGGTTCATCTTCATTTGAGTGTTTATTTAACTGCTTTTAGTGCATTGATCCCTATTAGTGTTTCATTGACACAGTTCTGAATAACTTATTGGAGGTTTCTAGTTATTTAGCTGTCTCTGTGCAACTCTGTTTCAGGAACCTGTTCAGGATGAAGAAGATATAATTAAATTCTGTGAAGAAACTGGGTTACCTGTAGCACTCGATGAAACCATTGAAAATATCCAAGAAAATCCTCTTGAAATGCTGGCAAAGTTTACTCACTCAGGAGTAGTTGCTGTTGTAAGTGGAAGTTTATTTTCTTATGTTAGTTATTGGGACGAGCAGTATGTAATACGTATCATTGTGTATGCCTCAGCAGACAGCACACTAGTCATTGTCAATCCAAAGAGTTCACTTTCTATGCCTCATAAAAAAATCCAACCATATGTTTTAAGCACATATAATTGAATGAAAATTTTGTTTTGGAGGTTTTCTTGCATACCTCAATCAGGAAAAGATGCATAAAACACTTTAGTAATTAAACTCATCTCAACTCATGTTATCCTTACGATAGTATGCCTTTCATTTCTTTTCTATCTGTGAAACATGAAAACCATTACCACAATCAGAACTTACAAACTGCAACAACTGTTAAGATTCTTCAGTCACAATTTCCCCATCATTATTTATTCATCTTTTGATATGAATTATATGAGGATTGTAGAGAGTAACTAGCTTAGGGTTTGATAAGGATATCATCCCCTATTTATATTAATGAAGATTAAAGTTTGTAAATATTACAAGGAAGCCCTGAGGCATGGAATAATTACAATAACTCAGATAGTAATATGATAATAAAATATGCTAACACCCCCTCTCAAGCTGGTGCGAAGATATCTCTCATGTCCAGCTTGCCTAATGTCATGAAATGGCTTATTCCCAACCCCCTTGGTGAGAATGTCAGCAAATTGTTCACCAAACTGGACAAAAGGAGTACAAATGGTACCACTAGTGAGTTTCTCCTCAATGAAGTGGCGATCAATCTCAACATATTTTGTCCTGTCATGTTGAATCGGATTGTGAGCGATGTTGATAGCGGCCTTATTATCACAGTATAATCGCATGGAGTCCATCTAATCAATACCTAGATCACTCAACAATAACTTGATCCATAAAAGCTCACACACCCCTTGTGCCATAGCTCTAAACTCAGCTTCTGCACTTGATCTAGTAACCACATTCTGTTTCTTACTCCTCCAAGTAACTAGGTTGCCTCCAACAAAGGTGCAATACCCTGAAATCGATCTCCTATCAGTTATTGAGTCAGCCCAGTCAGCATCTGTATAGGCTTCCACACGAAGATGATCATACTTTGAAAAATAAAGACCCTTACCAGGAGCAAACTTCAAGTACCTCATGATTCTCATGACAGCCTCGAAGTGAATCTGATGAGGAGCATGAATAAACTGACTAACCACACTGACAGCAACAACAATATCAAGACGGGAGTGAGATAGGTAAATGTGCTTACCCCCTAATCGCTGATAGCTCCCCTTATCAAAAGCTTCTCCTCCTTCATCATCTCCCAATTTCTGATTGGGTTCCAATGGAGTGTCACATGCCTTGCAGCCAAGCATCCTAGTTTCCTTCAACAGGTCAAGCACATATTTTCTCTGTGAGATAAATATCCCATCATTGGAGCGAACAACTTCAATTCCCAGAAAATACTTCAAGGTTCCCAAGTCTTTGATTTCAAACTCACTGGCTAAATATTTATTCAACAGAGGTATTTCTCCACTATCATTGCCCGTAAGAACTATGTCATCTATATAAACAATAAGTGTTGTAGTCTTACCATGTGAGGAATGTTTCACAAACAAGGTGTGATCTGCCTGACTCTGTTTGAAGCCATATTTAAGCATAACCTGAGTGAATCTCTCAAACCAAGCCCTTGGAGACTGTTTGAGACCATATAATGACTTCCGAAGCTTACATACTTTGCCTTCTGCCTGATGATCCGCAAAACTAGGAGGAATGTCCATATATACCTCTTCTTCAAGGTCACCATGGAGAAAAGGCATTCTTAACATCAAACTGATAAAGCGGCCAATCTAGATTAGTTGCTAGAGAGAGAAGTACTCTGACTGAATTCATCTTAACCACGGGTGCAAAGGTCTCCTGATAATCAATGCCATATGTCTGAGTAAACCCTTTTGCCATAAGTCTTGCCTTGTAACGCTCAATAGACCCTTCTGCTTTCTGTTTTACAGTATACACCTATTTACATCGCACAGGTCGTTTGCCCGTAGGTAACTCAGTCAATTCCCAAGTGTTAAAATTTACCATCACCTACCACCAATTTACCATCACCTACCACCACCTACTCCTCACCTACTCCACACCTACTACACTTCACCTACTCCCCTTCACCTACTACCTTCTTCTCTTCTATATATATGAATCAATGTAAACATAACAGAATATCAATCAATAATATACATCAATTTTTCTTTCATGGTATCAGAGCAAGGTTAAGCTCTTGGTATTCTTCGCCTTCCGGCGGGCGGCAACTTTGCCTTGACCGCCCGCCGGACCTCAACCAATTTGAGACCTCCATCAACTCGCAAGATCTCTCTCATACTTTCTCTTTCTAGAACAAGCCATGGCTCGAAACCATGCGGGTTGAAGCCAGATCTGTCATCAACTTTAACATGGTATCTGATCAGCTTTATCATGCAGCTCCAGATGGCGAAGCATCGTTACAAACTTCAAGTACCTCATGATTCTCATGACAGCCTCGAAGTGAATCTGATGAGGAGCATGAATAAACTGACTAACCACACTGACAGCAACAGCAATATCAGGACGGGAGTGAGATAGGTAAATGTGCTTACCCCCTAATCGCTGATAGCTCCCCTTATCAACAGCTTCTCCTCCTTCATCATCTCTCAATTTTTGATTGGGTTCCAATGGAGTGTCACATGCCTTGTAGCCAAGCATCCTAGTTTCCTTCAACAGGTCAAGCCAAGGTTTTAAAAAGCAGCCGCAACCGTTACGTAACGCCGTTACGTAACGGTTTTGGCGGTTACCGCCACCCGTTACGGCCGCTTTTGCAGTGTGATTGAGATTCACAGATGTGTCGGTCGTAGCAGCTGCCGTAGAGGTCGTAACGGCGCCGTAACAGCCGTAACGGCTTGTTATGCACCGTTACATAACGGTTCCAAACTGTTTCTTTCAAAAAAACACACAAAAAAAAGCTAAAAATGGAGGAAGAGGGATAGAGAGAAGAGGGCAGATAAAGAGAGAAAATGGAAGAGCAAGAGATAAAGAGAGAAAAGAGAGAACATGAAGAACATGTTATTGATTTGTTGAAGCTGTAAGGCCTATGCTATTCTATTCAGCTGCTATCACTCAACCATTTTGTTTGTGTGTGTCTATTTATATATTATTTGAAAATAATAATAATAATAAGTGTGGTCATTATCTATTTGGCTTGTTTAAAATATGTATATATATATATATATATATATTTAGGCTCTTATTTATTCTCTTACTTTTATCATTGTTTATTTTATATATATAATAGTTAGTGATTGATTTTTTGTATAATATAAAGTTATTAATTATTAAAATAAAATGTAAAAAACTCAGTTTATAGTGATTTAAAAATATAAAATATATTGGATCATACTTAAAAATTTATAAAAATTGATCAATATTTATTTTTAACCCAATAAATATGATCATGGAAAAAAAATATGCGTATCAGTAAGTTTTTTTCAAATTGTGCGAAGAATAAAAAAATTCACGGTTCCGGTTACCGCAACCGTTACACCACGGCCTTTACACCCCGCAACCGCAACCGCGCCACCGCCACCGTTACGGCTACCGCAACCGCTTTTCAGAACCTTGGGTCAAGCACATATTTTCTCTGTGAGATAAATATCCCATCATTGGAGCGAGCAACTTCAATTCCCAGAAAATACTTCAAGGTTCCCAAGTCTTTGATTTCAAACTTACTGGCTAAATATTTATTCAACAGAGGTATTTCTCCACTATCATTGCCCGCAAGAACTATGTCATCTATATAAACAATAAGTGTTGTAGTCTTACCATGTGAGGAATGTTTCACAAGCAAGGTATGATCTGCCTGACTCTGTTTGAAGCCATATTTAAGCATAACCTGAGTGAATTTCTCAAACCAAGCCCTTGGAGACTGTTTGAGACCATATAATGACTTCCGAAGCTTACATACTTTGCCTTCTGCCTGATGATCCGCAAAACTAGGAGGAATGTCCATATATACCTCTTCTTCAAGGTCACCATGGAGAAAAGGCATTCTTAATATCAAACTGATAAAGCGGCCAATCTAGATTAGTTGCTAGAGAGAGAAGTACTCTGACTGAATTCATCTTAACCACGGGTGCGAAGGTCTCCTGATAATCAATGCCATATGTCTGAGTAAACCCTTTTGCCATAAGTCTTGCCTTGTAACGCTCAATAGACCCACCTGCTACTACCTTCTTCTCTTCTATATATATGAATCAATGTAAACATAACAGAATATCAATCAATAATATACATCAATTTTTCTTTCACCAAGTGTCATTCTTCCTAAGTGCTTTTATTTCCTTAATCATGGCTAGTTTCCACTCAGAGGTAGTAAGAGTATCCTGAAAATGGTTAGGAATGGTAACAGGGGAAATATTTGACACAAACGTTCTATATAAGGATGACAAATGAGAGTAGGACACAAAATGTGAGAGAGGATGTTGAGTACAAGATCTCACACCCTTCCTCTTGGCAATAGGAACATCAAGATCAATGGACTCAAGAGATTCAAAGTTACCTAGATTCTCATCAGAAGCAAGAGATGGCAATGGAGGAGCAGAAGTGGTCCCTTGTATCCAGGTAACTTTCTATCTGTCTATATCCCGGACATAAACATGCCATTCCTTATCCTTGGTGACATTGGGTTCTATTTCCCTATCCTTAGTGACAATGGGTTCTATAGTCCCAGTAGGAGAGGGTGGTGCAAGAACAACTGGTTCCACCATAGGAAGCACAGGACTCACTTCACACCAAAGCTTCCTTAGAAATGAGGACGGTGACATCGGAGAGGACAAGAAATAGGACTGGGACTCAAAGAAAGTAACATCTATGGACACAAACTACTTACGAGAAGAAGAATGGTAACACTTATACCCCTTTTGAGTAGGAGAGTAACCATAGAAAACACACTTGAGGGAGCGAGGGTCCAACTTACCACGAGTAGGAGAGATTATAAACAAAACAGACACAACCAAATATTTTGGGAGGAATAGAAAACAAGGACTAGGAACCGAGGAGGACGTGAAGAGGAGCTTGTTTTTGCAAGACTTGGATAGGAAGACGATTAATAAGATGTGCAGCTGTAAGAACAACGTTGCCCCAATAGGGCTGAGGCACACTCATAGAAAAACACATGCACCGAGCCATGTCAAGAGGATGCCGATTCTTGCGTTCCGCCACCCCATTTTGTTGAGGGGTATTGGTGCGAGAGGTCTGATGGATAATGCCATGAGGAGAAAAATATTGACCTAACCCACAATCTATGTATTCCCCGTCATTATCAGAACGAAATAGTTTGACAGTGGCCTCAAACTGAGTACAAATCATTTTATGAAAATTGCGAAACACAGAGAAAACCTCACTCTTATCTTTCATGAGATACGCCCAAGTAGTACGAGAAAAATCATCAATAAATGTAACAAACCATCGATGACCTTTCACAGACATAACACGAGAGGGACCCCAAACATCAGAATGTATTAATGAAAAAGGAACTAAACTTTTATTAAAACTGGGAGCAAAAAAAGCTCGGTGTTGTTTTCCAAGTTGACAAGACTCACAAAGAAATTCAGACACATGATGATTTGCGAAACCAGATGGAAATAAATGCTTAAGTAAATAAAAAAGAAGGATGCCCAAGACGCTGATGTCACAGCCATAAATCAGCGGGGGTAGTAGAAGACGTGATGGAAGAATGAGCAAGCTTGTCCGGTTGATCCAGGAAGTAGAGACCATTTTCTGCACTACCACTGCCAATTGTCCTCCTCGTGATAAGGTCCTAAAAAAGACAATGATCAGGAAAAAACGTCACACTACAATTCAAATCCTGGGTAAGACGACTCAAGGATAACAGATTAACAGAAAATTGGGAACATGGAGAACAAAAGATAGAGGTATGGTAGGAGTGACTTGGACTAACCCTTTCCTAGAAATAGAAGAAACAGTACCATCTGCAATTCTAACTTTATCCTGACTTGAAGAGGGCTTATAGGTAGAGAAAAGATCAGAGGAGCTAGACATATGATCTGAGGCACCGGAATCAATAATCCAAGGCAAAGACTTATGACACAGGAAAACACAAGGAGAAGAGGCTAAGTTACTTGAGCGGGCAAAGGACGAGGAAACTGTACTGAGAGCAGTAGAAGACCGGCGGTCCAGCAATTGGCGCAGAGCATCCTCAAGCTCAGCATTAGAAGCTTGGCCAACAAAAGCAGAATTAGAATCAAGTGTATCAATGGCACTAGACTGATGAGCCCGGGAATAGGAGCCACGTCCTCTAGACTGGCCTGACCGACCTCTTTTAGAACCAGACTGATCACCTCGACCCCCGGATGCAGTCCCATAAAGCTTCCAATACGTCTCACGAGTATGCCGCGGCTTCTTACAATAATCACAGAATACAGACTCCTTAGCAGCAGACGGAGGGATGGGAGTCAGGCTGAAGCCATCTCGAGGAGTAGACAGTAATGCTAAGTGGTCAGTAGAGATAGGGGACATCATAGCAGACCGGCGACTCTCCTCATTTTGTACATAGGCAAATGCCTCCTGAAGTGAAGGAAGAGTGTCCATGCCCAGAACTCAACTCCTAACTGGATCATACTCCACATTTAGGCCTGCCAGAAATTTAAAGACCCGTTCCTGTGCGATGAATTTCTTGTACCCGACAGAATCAGCAGGGCAAACAGGTTTATAGTCTTGCAGGTTATCAAGGCGTTTTCAGCCATTGGTGAGGAAGGTGAAATACTGAAGAACAGTTTGCTCCCCCTGAAGTGAGCTCTCAATAGAGTGGCGCAACTTAAATGCCTGTGAGAAATTCCCTTTGTGGGAATAGGTGGCAGCCACAGCATCCCAAACATCCTGGGCAGTCTCCATAGACAAGTAGCCCTCACCAATTTTTGGAACCATCGAATGAATAAGCTAACCTATAATCAAAGAGTTGGTAATCTCCTATTGGTCATAACCCGGGTCAGTGGTACTAGGTGTCTGTATCTGGCCATCAACATACCCCATCTTCCCTCTGCTCTTCAAGAATATAGTCAAACTCTGAGACCATGCTAGATAGTTCTGACCATTAAAATAGAGAGGTGATGATTTTCAGACTAGGGTTAGGGTTCTCAGGCATGGTAATAGGTATAATGGGACTCTCACTCCTAGGTGTTTGAGAAGTAGGGGACACACTGGTGGAATCTACCGTGGATACTATACTACCGAACCTGCAACAAAACTAGTGGCAATCACAAACCCGAAAGGTGGTGGTAAAAGAACAGACACAATGACCACTATAAAGGTATAACAAAATTAAGAAACCATAAAGTTTTTTATTTATTTATTTATTTATTTATTATATATATATATATATATATATATGACATAGAACTGAGGTAAGACCAAGCAAAGATTATACCAGGAAGGGACGAACTGAGAAGATCGACGAACTGACCAAACCAAGGGAGATCGACTGACGATGAAGCTGCGAAAAGAGACGATGGCATCGGAGGAGGAGTCGACTGAGGCAGAGGACCAACCCAGGTCAGTTTCGAACCCTAGAGTAATGGTTGGTGCTAATTTCGACCAACAAGGGTGAGCCGAAACCCTAGACAGGCATCAACCCATCCGAAACTACTTGGGTCTTTGTCGGCATGAGCTGAAGCCCCTCAGGGGGGGTCAGTGTGAGCCGAAGACCCTCCGGTGGTGACTGGGGGCTCCGGTGGTGGCTGGTGGCGCCGATTGGTAATAGGAATAGTATGGGTTAGGTATTAGGGTTTAGCTCTGATACCATGAGGATTGTAGAGAGTAACCAGCTTAGGGTTTGATAAGGATATCATCCCCTATTTATATTAATGAAGATTAAAGTTTGTAAATATTACAAGGAAGCCCGGGGGCATAGAATAATTACAATAACTCAGATAGTAATATGATAATATAATATGCTAACATTATATTCATTGGGGAAAAAGTCAGAAATATGAACCTAATTTGGTTTCGTGTTATAACTCTTGTCAGGTTATCAAACCAAGTGTTGTTGGGGGTTTTGAAAATGCAGCATTGATTGCAAGATGGGCTCAGCAGCAGGGGAAGATGAGTGTTGTTAGTGCTACATTTGAGAGTAGCCTAGGTTTGTCAGCTTATGTCCAGTTCTCATATTATCTTGAGCTGCAAAAGGCAGATATATGTATGGCGATGAATAAGGAACCTTCCCCTTCTATAGCACATGGTCTTGGAACTTACCGCTGGCTTAAAGAAGACATAACTGCTGAATCTCTGAATATTCGATATTTGTCGTAATCCATGCAGTGGCTTCATAGAAGCATCTGTTGATGATGCTGGCTGTCTCTTAGGGAAATTTCAAGTCAACAAGAAGGCCATCCTTCGAAATTTTACTGGGGAAGAAGTTCATAGTTACCAGTTAACAGTCAATTCATATGGTTTCTCCTTTTTCATCAATGTACGAGAGATTGGACCAAGCAATGAAGTAAGTACTGGAATTTTAATTTTTATGTTGTCATATGCTGCTAATATTTTGTGCCCTTCAAAGTCTTTGATCCATTTAATTTGCACAAACAGCTCTAGGGAACTTAATATCTGTGTACTTGCAGATAATTTGGCACATGATTAACTGCAAAAAATGGAAAGCTAATTGTGCATTTTTTTTTTTTTTTCTTTCAATTTCTTGTACATAGTTGGTGCAAAAAATTAGAGGGCTTCCATTAATGTGGGGGGAGTGAGTTACACATTTTGATACGTCATCTTTTGTACTGATACATGAAGAGTTTTGTCTATGTTGTGTGGGTATATGTCCACATTTTGTATATGTAGCAGCTGTAACTGAAAAACTATTTCCCCTTTTTTTCACTAGTTAAAGTGGCTTGCCATTTGCAGCACCTCTGGTTAGACAGACTGAAATTGAGTTAGATGTGGTTATTCTTCATCACTCTTTCTTAATTTGAATGATGCAGAATAATGTACTTGTGTTTCTCCATGGGTTCCTTGGAACTGGTGAAGACTGGATACCCATCATGAAGGCCATCTCAGGATCTGCAAGATGCATTGCAGTTGACCTTCCTGGCCATGGTGGATCAAAGATGCAAAATTATGGCGTTAGGGAAGCATCACAAGAACGAAGTTTATCAATTGAGGTAGTAGCAGATATATTACAGAAGTTGATTCAAAATAGTACTCCTGGAAAAGTTACCCTTGTTGGATACTCCATGGGAGCAAGAATTGCATTGTACATGGCCTTGAGATGCACTTCTAAGGTACATCAAGGATGTAGTGTTTTTTTTTTTTTTTTTTTTTATTTGTTTTTTTTTTTTTTTTTTTTTTTTTTTGAGTGTACTCTGAAAATTTTACTTACGTGCACCAAGGTTGAAGGAGCTGTCATAGTATCTGGAAACCCTGGATTAAAAGATGTGTCGGGGAGAAAGATCCGTAGAGCTAAAGATGACTCAAGGGCGTGCTCCCTTATTACTCATGGCTTAGAACTCTTTCTAGATGACTGGTATGCTGGAGAGCTGTGGAATAGGTAATTTCTGGGTATGCGTTATTAAAATTTGCTTTCACTGTTGGTTTAATTATTTCTTAAGTTACATGATTAAAAACAAATGTATCATAGTTTCTTTCATTGTACAGCTTAAGAGATCATCCCCATTTCAAGCAGATAGTTGCTAGCCGTTTGCAGCAGGTTGACATACACACCCTTGCAAAAGTTCTGTCTGATTCAAGTATCGGGAGGCAACTGTAAGCTTGTCTATCTTTATGAATTATCCTTTTTATTAGAATATTGATTTATCAGTTTACTGACCATTCGATCTATTACGTAATTGCCTTTTTTGTCTTGCACATCACACCTTAAGTTACAAGGTTTCTGAAGTTTTAAAAATTTACAAATTATGATGATTATGTGCTTGGCTTGAATTAATTGGTGCATGAGGGAGCACAATGTTCCTGAAGTGCAAATTTAACCAGTCTCTTGGATACAGGATGTTTATAATAAAATAAAATCATCATTCTATGTCCAATGAATTGTCAAGTTCTGTTAGCTTTGCTATAGAAAGGAACTAATTATGCTTTTATGTTCATGAACATACACCTACTGGAAATAGCTTTTGGCATCTTAAGGGTTCATCTTGTTATTTCATGAGCATCCACTATGGTACTATCTATCAACTCCATATGCTAAAAGCATGATGAAAACCTCCTTTCCTGGTCATTATATACATCACTTTCCCTTGCATCTCGTAGCCTTTTTTTGGGGTCTGCAAGTGCGCATGTGTGTCTGTTAATTCTTGGTTTCTTTTAATGTAGTTTGTAGAGTTATAAAGATTTCAAAAAAAAAGTCTTCCTAAATGAAAGTTATAATCAAAAAGACAAAAAAAAAAACTAAAGGATTTCCAAACATGACTTATTTTAACCATTATAAAACTCAAAAATTGGAATCTGCTATATGAGATCATCCAATCCTTTTAATATATAGTATTGTAAATAGGCTTTTTTTAACAAAGAGTATTTTTATCGCTTTAAGGTCTCAAACTGCAAAACTTTTAAAAAATCTATTGTTTAAGCCATTCAGCCCTAAATATTTGAAACTTAAAATTCCATAATATTTCCTTAATTCCATTACACAAACATGGTTTCTTGAAACATTTTATCAACTTTCTTACGATTCACTAAAACCATTTTAGTTGAGCTTTTCTTCTCTTTGCATGATAGGCCATTGTGGGAAGACTTAAGGCACTGCAAAGTACCTCTTCTGCTTGTGGTCGGGGAGAAAGATGATAAGTTCAAAAGGATTGCTAAGGAAATGTTCCGTGAAGTCGATCATGGTGCAAGGAGCATAGATGACAGAGAGGAGATTTGTGAAATAGTTGAGGTTCCAAGTTGTGGTCATGCTGTTCATCTAGAGAATCCCCTCCCTCTAATTAATGCAATTAGACGGTTTTTGAAGAAGTCAAAAAGAGTTTGATTCCAGAACCAGCATGGTTCTTTATAGATGTTCTCGTTTCATTCTAGAAGAGACAGACATGATATTGAACCGAATCAATTCACATTAATTGGCGACCTGACCTTTGTCAAGTTCATCCACAATGTTTTCTTTCAAAGTTGCATCATTATCCTGTAAGTTGCTGAAGCTTTGTCATTAAGACCGAAGCCAAGTGACCTCATTGAACAGAGAAGGTTTTGCTGTACAAGGTTCAACTCCAACAACACAGGCATTAAGTCTTGTTTCCGTGTAATGCTATTGGCTGTGTAAATATAATTATCTCATAGATCAATCTTGTAGGGTTCAAGATTGAAATATTTGTGTGAATCGACTGTAAGAAACCTTCTCATATTGGATGTTTATGTAATGGATGTCTTATTGCTCACAATTTTCAAGGTTGTAATGTACAATCCAATTACAACCATGTATTTGCAATGCGGTTTGCTTGTGATGATGCGAGAAAATAGGTTCTTCCATCTTTTATTTTTCAATTTTTATTTAGCTGGAATTTGATTTTAGTTGGACCAATGAAGTGTAATATAATTATCTCATAGACCAATCTTGTAGGGTTCAAGATTGAAATATTTGTGTGAATCGACTGTAAGAAACCTTCTCATATTGGATGTTTATGTAATGGATGCCTTATTGCTCACAATTTTCAAGGTTGTAATGTACAATCCAATTACAACCATGTATTTGCAATGCGGTTTGCTTGTGATGATGCGAGAAAATAGGTTCTTCCATCTTTTATTTTTCAATTTTTATTTAGCTGGAATTTGATTTTAGTTGGACCAATGAAGTGTAAAGGCAATCCTCCAACCTGCCAAGTCAAAACTGCCAAAACCATCCAACCAAACTGCTAGTTTTGACCTTGTGCTCACCAGCATATATATATATATACTATGCTAATTGCAAATCTGTTTTGGCAAATTTTCCAACTTCATATATTATGTGTATATGTATGTATTTATGTGAAGCTGCAACCCAGTGGGTGCAAATCAGTGGTTGTGAATCCTCCGGGCTGTGTTTGCCAGTGGATGTGGAGAGGGTCGGGGTTGGTGGCGGGAAGTTGGGGAGGCACTGGAGGAAGGAGATTTAATGTATTTTTTGTGACTGAGATTTAATATTACAAAAGTTAAACGATACAATAATCAAAAGTTGAGGGCATAACAACCATACAATTGTGTCTCAAAATTCTCAATTCCCAAATTGTCACTCTGCTCTTAATGCCCTTTTAGCCACACAATCGTATCTTGAGATTCTCATTATTGTGTTTTGAATATCTCATCACTTCATACAATTCGAAGTGCATCGAATTCCTGATTGTTCAGTCATCAATATCAGCTAATGAAATCATGAAAGATTATTTGTTCACCTACACGACAGGTAGCTGTGAACAATACCGCCTCTTTGATTATTTAAAATAGTGCGGTAGACCCAATTTGAAGTTGTGGACTCTACTATTTTAACCAATTAGAAGCAAGTATATCATTCATTCAATTGCCAACCTCCTTGATTAGTTAAAATAAAGCGGTAGATTCAATTTGGAGTTGTGCACTCTACTATTTGAACCAATTAAAAGTATGTGTATTATTCATTAAATTGCTAGGCGAGTGAACAAATTCATGCTCGAAATCATGGCGCACGCAACGCAACAATCATTTCCTCCAAACGAGAGAAGCTAGCTAGCATCATCTCCCTCGTGATATATTTTTTGAGCTGCAATTTGTGACTGAATATACATCCACATTAGAAAGAAGGTGATTTGATTGCACAAAATTGATGCCATCAACCCAAAACTTGTGGGTAGGACCAGCCACAACACTATTCCTAGTGCTATTGCTGTGGAAGCAGAAGCAAGAACACGACAGCATGTCGCAATTTTCGGATTTCTGTCTCGAAGCAAAATTGTTACTACAGAAGCAGTGAAAGCGAAAGTGAGAGTCAAAGAGAAAATGCATGATAGAAGGAAGGCTTGTCCTTGAAGATGACAGTTGGAACTGGGTTACCCTCTATTTCCTCATATGGCACAAATTGTATAAATCCACAACCTGTTACATATACCACTCCAAAAATCATCTCCTCAATTGGAGGCAGGGTAATAGATGTTTTATGCATATTCTTCATAGAATATGTGTTTGGAATATCGGGGGTGGAACAAGTTTTTGACATTGAGCAATGCACCTTATATAGGATGTTTGAATGCTCCTGTAGAGTCAAGTACACTCCATTGTAATAACGAGAAAAGATAGGGATCATGAAAAAATTTTCATGAAATTGATTATGAAAAATTTATGACCCTTAGATTACCTTGATTAGCGTGTGGTGTTTTATTTTAAGTGTAATCTAAGAATCATAAATCTTTCATGATAATTTTCATGAAAATTTTTTCATGATACGTAACATTGCTCTTGTAATAACCTATTAGTGGATTCCAATTTGATCATCTTTTGTTGAAGTTTAGATGCCTTTCGTTGTCAGATGTCCCCTTCAAAATTTCAACTTAAATAATTACTTTTATTATGGAAAACGACATTTTAAGGAGAAATTAGTAGAAACTTCTTTTTCAAGGACTTAGTCATAAATCCTATTAAAATACTTATGATTTAGTAGGGTTGCTGGGCTTTCCTGGTCTAAATTTGGATTGGAGGGTTCTGTTAGAGTCTGTGGGGGCCGATTTTAATGATCTAAATTTTTTATTTTATTAGACTTCGTGTATATTTCATTTATAGAAAAATTAAGTCAATCTAATATTTATAACCTCTTCATTTTATTGAGTTTGTCTTTAAAAAATTTAACGGTTATTGTGTTTTTAAAAATAGATAATCCATATTTCTTTGATACAAATGCAATAAAATGAATGAGTTACTAATATCTAATTAATTAAATTTTTTTTTTAATGAATGATATACACAAGATCAAAAACATAAACGGTTCAGATTATGAAAACGCGACTCATAGTGAGCCTCACAGGCTCAGACAACGCCTTTCAATTCATAAGATGATTGGAGAGAAACCTATCGTAATTCAATTACTCTTAAATGTTTAAAATTGTATTCTAAGAGATTTTTTTTTTCTTTTAAATTAATTTTTTTTTTATATAACGATTTTACCCTTCTTTCAGTCAACATGTTTGTATGACTTTATTATTTTTTTATAAATGTTTAAAACTTTAAAATTTCATTATTTTTAAAATATACATTCAGTTTTGAGAAAGTTTAAATTCTTTTAAAACTACTAGATAAGATCTATCAAATAAAATCTCAAATGAATATAAAATTATGTAAAATGAAAAAAGATAAAAATTTCACACTTTTTTTTATATTTTTTTATTATAAAATTTGAAATTGTAAAATTTTTTCACTTCTAAAATTTCACAATTTTGAAAATTGTTTTATATGGATATATCAATACTATTATTAAATGAAGGTTTAAATTAGTTTAGTGAAGCATTCTTCTCCTTATGCCATGTGACAACTTTATATATGCTAAAATAAAAAAATTATTATACACAGCTTAAGCAAGTTTTGAATCCAAAACCTTGGATTTCATTAAGAACATACTTAACACTTAAACAATATTCCTAATTTTTTGCTTTTATTATTAGTTATCTAAAACCCGCCAGTATATATATATAGTGTGATTTTTCTAGTAAATGTGAAAATTGTAAAAGCAAATATTCACACTTTTAATTAATAAAATATTATGAATTTTTGAATAGTATGAAAATTAGTTTCATATTATTTTAATTTATTGAAAATATAAATATTTGCACTTTTTAAAAATTCACATTATTATATTTTGAAAGTGTGAATATTCACATTATAATTTTCACAATTATTATGAAAATCATACTATTATAATATTTATGATTTTTATTTTTTGAATCATAAATAACCATAATTAGTGAGATTTTATTTTGTAACTTTAAAACAAAGCATAATTAGTGGGATTAAATTTTGGTAACCTTAATTAATGAGATTTGATTACTATAATTAGGTTTTTTTTTGGGGGGTCCTTTATGACGTAAGATTTTTTGAGTCAATAAAGGGGTTGCTATTAGCATCTAACTTTATTTTTTGAACCCTCCACTTCTTTGAACATTCATCCAACTAAATGAGGCCCCTCTATTTTCTCTTTGAACCCTACCTTAATTATCCTCTCTCTAACCCATTCTCTCAACCCAACAACTGCTAGCTTCGGCCATAACCTCTGCCGCGGGTGCCACTCTCCAGTGATGCTCAACAACACGTCCACCCACCACTGCGACCCTTACAGATGGCCACCCCTAGTAGCTTTGGTCAACCCCAATCCAGAGCCATCATCGCAAACCTCGCTCTTTCTTTCTTTCTCTCTCTCGCCACCACTACTTAGCCACCATCGTCGGTCAATCCTCATCCCAACTTCGGCGATCTTCTCTAACCTATCCTCTCCCATGCCATTGCCGTAATCTTCATCTCTTGTTTTTTCCATCACCGCGACCCTAGCTCTAGGGTTTGTGAGATCTCATGGAGATCTCTAACGAAGATTGTAATCAAACACTCTCAGTCGTATAACCACCGATCTTCGTTTCTTTTTCTTGCAAATCGCTCATTCCTTTCTTCTCTTCCTTTTCACTTTCGGCGAAGAATTTGGGTGGCAACAATGGAAGAAGAATCTAGGTTGCTAGAAGAAGAATCTAGGTTTTGAAAACTAGATATGGGTTTAGAAGAAGAAGAAGAAGAAGAAGAAGAAGAAGAAGAAGAAGAAATTAGGGTTAGGGTTAGGACATTAATGGAGAAGTTACGACGGCAAAGGGTGGCGGAGATCGCGGCAAACCATTTCAACATGACTTTTCTATGGCACTTCGACAACCATTGCAATAACGGCGTTCACTACGGCTAAGCTCTAGCAATGGAGGTTGTCACACCCTGACTTTTATTATTCGAATCCATTACCAAATTCATTATAATAATACCATTTAGTTGAAAACATGAATAGGGATAACTAATAACATTCTCTCACGACAACAATGATGATATAAATAAGACATAGTACAATGTCCTTAGGCTTACATTGAATAACAATAAATAAAACCGAAGGGGTTTACCCTTATACAATACATGGCACACAACCAACAAGTAAAGGGTCCTGTGGCCAACAATTAAAAAACTTCAAGTCATACACGATTTCCTCTAGCCTTGTACCTGAAAACATTTATCAAGGCATGAGATGAGCACTAAGCCCAATAGAGATACCAAAGATCCTAACCAATCACAACATATAGATAAAAATGATCACGAATGCACCATGACATACCATATAAATAGTGTGACATTTAATATCCAAATATACACATATAACTACAATTTTTCTCAAAATATTCCTCTTGACACAATTTAGTATAAAAATTAATTCTTTTCTTTCACATTCCCATCATTACTTCCAAAAGAAAACGTTTTAAAACCTCATCCTTTCTTTGACCAAAACTTCTCACGTTAACATAAAAGAA